AAAGTACGTTAGCTTAATGGTGATGCAATGCTTAAAGGAGTATACGACCCAAATGGCGATATTTATAAATTGTTTTTGGATATGAAAAAACATTTGTAGTACTTTAGTAATTTTGGTAATAAATCATAATATCTTTTGCAGAATCTCGTGTTTCGCTTTTCATATTTAGAAAAAAAAAGTGAACAAATTTTAATTGTGATTCCAAATGTTCAAAGGTAACAAGACAGCTGTTTTCATGTAAATGTTTTCTTTACTATTCTCCATACAAATAATATAGCATGCAAAATAATGCAGATTTAAAAATTGTATTTTTTCAGTAAACATCGATTTTTTTATAAATCTAATGTTAGCCCTGAGAAATTTTCTTTCACTAAGGTGTCTATTCTACTACAGTTATAAATATTTTATTTTCGCTTTTGAGAAAAAAAAAACGCAAATCAAATTATGATAATTGTTTTTTTGGAAGTACGTATGTGTGCGAACAATTACACAGGTCCAGAATAGAGAAGGATAATAATTAATAGCTGGAAAATGTTTAATCCATTAAGAAAAAAATCTAGATTGAAGATTGTGCCAGTTGTTAAATGTTTTTTCCATATTTTGTGTCCTAATTTTGACTATATATTTATTACATTTGAAAGCACATGTCACACACCCGATTAAGACAATTTTTTTTTGTGGACTTGTATTAATTTCAACTATGAAATTCATAAAACATTACCATCCATCACAACTGAGTAAAACATATCAAAACTGCATACGCGTTGCTACTTTCCGCATTAAAAAAATTAAAATAAAGAACGAAATTAAAAAAAAGGCTGATATTGATCAGCTTATGTAATAAAGCAGTGCCAAATTTCTTATTAACCCTCCGTCGGTCGGATATTTTTTTACCTTCGAACGGTCGGAAAGGTCTGGCTGGACCACCATTCATTTTACATGCATTTATATGGGATAAATGAGTTTTTGGTGTCTTATATATTAACGATTATATAAAAAAAATCAAGAAATATAAAAAAAACGTTGCTTTTTGTTAATTTTTCTGTTTTATATCAATGAAAAACAATATTTATTCATTTTCGGCGCCTTTGAAATGAATGTGAAATTCAAATGAAAACGAAATGAGGTGCGTCGCCTTTGAAATGAGCTGTAAAACTCAAAGTGAAAATATTGTTTCACTAAAGGTTTGCCAAAAAAATTTTCGAACGCAGTACGGGTAGAAAAATTGTTGCTAATGTGTGCATTACTCATCCGATTTTCAGTGTTTGCGATTACCAATAAGTTTGGTAGGTTTTCAAGGAACTCTCGTCATGAAAATACTAACATTCATGTTACAACACATAGCAAAGAATATATACAACGCACTTTGAATAGAAAATACCATGAAAAAAGACAAAATACTGGTTTACATATATCAAAAAGCGTATATTTTATACAAAATGTATGGGTGTCTAGACAGACCTTTCCGACCGTTCGAAGTATAAAAAAGTTAATATCCTTATAATTATCCTTCTGTACATTTTTTTGTCCTTATTTTTTCATTGATCGATAGCTGATAAATTTTTAGGAAAAGTCAAGAAATTTCAAGTCGATAGGATTACTAGAAGTATTATTTTTTTTAAATTGAAGTGGAAAAAAGTCTGGCCAGACCACGCCGACCGACGGAGGGTTAAAGTTTTTAAGTAAATTAGTTTTTCTGTTCAACTATTTGTTTTTATTTTGTAGTAATATTTATAAACACTTATACACTCGTAATTATATAATATAATATTTTTTTAATTTTTAATTTTTGTTCTTGTGGCAATTTTCTAATTTTGTTGCAATTACGGAATAATTCCCGCGCTCAGTCAATAAATCTTTTGACTTAATTTTAGTTCAGACTTTTGAGTTTATAGAAAACCTTCAATTTTATTCAAAAAGAAAAAGCAATTTATTATGTTCTTTATTTTATTTTTTTTAATGCGGAATGGTAAACTACATACAACTCCAAATTTTCATTATTATATAATAGTCATTTAAGTAGTCCAATCAGTTTTTACATAGCTCGGTGATCGATGAATTAACTTTTATCGCTATTTTTGTGAACATTTTTAATTGAAATTCGATCAAAATTTTCTGAGTTTATAAAAAATTCTAAATTTATCTGTCAGCTGCAACGTTTTAAAAACAATTCTTAGATATTGGCAACGAAAGGGTTAATTCCAATAAAAATAACTGATCCTATTGTACTTGTCTTGCAAAAGGAGCAATTTTAGCAAAAAAAAATTAAAATTTAATAATATATATGAAGATAAAACTGTTTTTGAAAGAAAACTGATTTTTTTTCAGAGTTATTGAAACCTCACTCGTTTCGCTAAGCATAGCATAACATAATTCAAATATAGATGTCAGTATTTCAGCATTTCAGTAGGTAAATTATCAATGTAATTTGTGTTAGCTGCCCCTCATTCATATACCACATAATTATACATTCAGAATTAGTTAGTCATTTCTTTTACTAATGATTTTCTGAAAATATTTCCTGTGGCTAAACGTTTGCCGGGTCAGCTAGTATATATATATATATATATATATATATATATATAAATTACGTGCGGCCCGCCATAAAATTTTAAAATTTAAATTGGCCCGCGTGTTAAAAAGGTTGCTCGCCCTTGGCTAGCACATATAGTCTAGCACTCCTTGTTCTAAATTAACCAGAGATAGTTCTCCAAAGTTAACTAATGAAATATATGGAGAAGCTAATTGAATCCAATGATTATTTTAAATGATTTCATTTCAGCCAATACTTTGTAGGAATTTTATTAGTTCGGTTAAAATGAATTTCGTAACCGAAAGAAATAAGTCGTTACACAAATTTTCCCTTAGGATAGACCGGGGTGTAAAAGCTCCGCGGGTAGAAAGATCTACCACCATTATCTCAAAAACGTCAAAGTAGAGGAAAACAGATGTGTGATCAGCCATCGCCTTGAATCAAGCTATCAGGATATAAAACATACCATATTTGAAAATCTTGAACAAAAGTATTTTCTTTCGTTGTTAGTTTTCCTTGTGAGCACTGTTGTTTAGTTTATGAGACCTTACTATAATTTTTAAGTATACGTTATTTAATTGTTTTATAAGATGCTTTATTATTTTTAAATTAGATTCAACAGATGTTTTGTATAACTTTTATATGAGGATTGATATGATATTGAGGATTATATGAGCTTACATATGACGATGAACTGATTCTTTACCCTGGAAAAGATGTAAACAATACAAAATAGGAAAATAAGTGTAAATTTACTCTAAAAAAGTACTTTTACAAGAACTAAATTAAGTTAATAGTTCCCACTTTTCCGATGGATATTTCTGACAAAATACCATATATAGGAGATCAAAGATATATATAGTTCTATCTTCGTAAAAAATGTGTCTATGTAATTTATATTTTGCATTGGCTGCATATTGCAGCTGTTATTTCATAAATTTTATAAAATCATCTCATAAAAGTTAACTTATCATTTAACATTCGCTTGAATAGGTATTGATGTTATTTATCGGTCTTTAGAAAGGTGATTGAATCTTGTTTCGATTTCCAACGATTAGACTATAAAATTTAATGTAGGTCTTGATCATAAACGGTGTGCTTTCTTGAAGGTTGTTTTTAAGAAATACTTAAGAGTCAATAATAGCAAACGATAGATTTTTTTTATTAACATCCCGAAGGAGAAGTTGTTTTCATCTAATTAGCTATTTTTTTTTGTTTTCTCCACGTTTTAAGCCATTCTGAATCGAATGAGACCAAATTTGGAAAAAGTATGTGTCTGTGTGTTTATCGACGTTTTCTCAAAAACTGCTGGGCGGGCCTATTTGTAAAATAAGCAGTTTGATGTAACTCGATAGGGTCTAGCGTTTGTAAATTTTGCGAGACGATCAACCAAGCCGCTTCTTTGTAAATAGCAGCTACTGATTAGTTTTTGGTAAAGATTCGCTGGCACAAGGTCTTGTAATTAATTGTTGAAAAACTAGTGGGGCGCATGGCATCCAGCCGTAAGGCAAATTGCTGGAACTTTCCGTACCAAATATTATTTTTTTTTTAAACGACTAACATTTTTGAAAAAAAATTTCTTCGAGAAAATTAGATTTTTGAGAAACTAGGAATTTGACAAAAAATTACTTTTTTAGAAAAAAAATTTTTTTTTTTGAAAAAAAAAGAATGTTTTCTTTATTTTGACATATTTTGGAAATTCTGAACTTTTTTTCAAAGCAATCGTACTACTTTAACTGCATAGAGACAAAATGTCAAAGCGCGTAAGCGCCTCGTCGGCGTCTACCGAATAAACATTGGTACGGAACCCATAGGAATGCAAACAAAATTTATACTTATTGTTAAAATCTCTATAAAATATCTGATAATTTGATGCGCATATGTCTAATGATCATTTTTGACCGCCAAATGACATTTTTTTTTACTTTTTCCATTAGATCTCCGAAACCGCTAGACCTGCCTATATGAAAATTGATCAGTTCTTTATCTTGTCAATACAAGTAAAATGTTTTTTGAATGATTAAAATCGGACGCTCCGCACTCTTGAAAACTGAGTTACCGTTTTTGGCACTTTTTGCCCCGTATCTTTGGAACGGCTAGACCTGCCTTCGCTAAAAACTAATCAGCACGTCTCCTTATCAATATGAATCGAATGTTTTTTGAATTATTTAAATCGGTTGATCGGTGTTCCCGAAATCGTCGACGAAAATTTGTATCCGCACACACACACACGCACACACACACATATACACACACATACATTCATTTTTTCTAACGTATGCCAAAATGTTGAGAAACCTTTGAAACGTAAAAATATATAAAAATTTTCATTTTCGATTTTTTTGCGATTACTATAACTTGTCCGACGGGAAGTTAATTATTACACATTTCGGGAAGTTCATGCAACTTGCCGTAAAACCGATTACATCTTAATAATGTGATATTAATTAATTATAATATTTTACAGAAATCCTATCTCCACGCATGACCAAACTATGCCTTTCAAGAGTTAAAATAACATTGCTGCGACCATGTCCGGTATTCCGATTCCATCGAACGGCCACCATCAGCAGATAGTACAGCAGCAACCACTGCTTCAACAGTATCAAGCGCAGGTCGCACCGAATCCAAACGCTTTGGGCCCTCCTCAGGACGGGCAAACGCAGCAACATCACCAGCAGGTACCTCCGAGGTACCAGCCACCTCCGCAGCCACATTCAATTAAACAGCAACCGCTAAGGGGACACCCTATTGTGACGCAAGATCAATCGAAACAGATCAGGCCTCAGCAAACTACCAGCCAAGGGGTGAGTTGAATTAGCATCACTTATAATATAAGTCTTATAGGTATATATTATTATTTAACAGCTAATAATGCGCTCCTATGGCAACAGACCAGCTGCATGCACATTTTGTATTAGTAAGATGCAGATCATTGTTGTTAGTAGAAATTCTAATCAATTTCTATGAATACATCAAAAAAATATTAGTATATTCCCCTTTGCGTTAAAATGTGTGTGTGGGTGACTATTGTAAGAATGTATAATTGGTGTTGAAAGATAAATTAAAATATAATTTTTAAGACCATTCAGAATATAGAACAATGAGACTTACGGAAAAAGAGGAGCGTATATACAAGGTGTCTGCCAGAACTCAACGTCAAGCCGTAACGGGATCATAGTATCATAAAAAAAATTATCATGTAATTTTTTGGTTTTTATGCTTTTCCTCGAGTTTTCTTATTACAAAACTATAAAGAATATTTATATTCTACAATACTGAATAAATGTGCAAACTTTTGATTAAACTTGCTAACAGACTTTAGTAAATTTTTTGAAAGGCTGGTTTCCCATTTTGAAAATTTTAAATTCTACAAAATTTTGAATAACTTATTGGACAATTCTGTAATTATTTTTGAGTGTGAATCAATAAATGTATTCCAATAAATATAAATATACATCATATTTTTCATTTCGTTCGGGTATTTAGCCGTAGGTATAGTATCCGTCATTCTATTAAAACAATAAGTATTTAGATTATTAAAGCTATGCCATGATTGTGTGACAAAAAAAGGAAAGAAAAAATTTTTCCTCCAAAAAAATCACATAATAATAATTATACTAATAAATAATTACACAAAAAAGAAAAACAAAACAAAAGATTTATTCGCTTTGAAGGAAAATCAGTGACGAGCCAAATATCATCTGCTGCTATGGATCGATTAGGATATAGTTTGGCATGGCGTGTTTGCTATAACAAACTATGTCTTTAGTAAATTGATCAAGACCCACGATATTGGTATTAGGGTGATCCCCACATTTCTGGGAAAAAATTTCAGTGAGCTCCTTTATATGGTCGACTATTGTCGGTACGTCAATCTGTTCATGTATATATTTTGTAGAGGAGTAATGTCTAGTCAATGGGTCCCTTATTTTGTAAAGTACTAGTCGTAGTGTCTTATTTTGTACTGTCTGTGGTTTCCGTAAGTTGGTCTTAGTCGTCGCGTTCGATGTTGGAGCAGCATATGTCATTATAGGTCTGATATGTGTGAGATATAGTGTCCGCTTGTTGTTCACGCTCAACCGACTGTTATGGTTCAAGAGAGGTCACAGTAGATTTAATATCCCGTATGTCACACCAAGGTATTTGACATTTTTGGACCACTCAACTTCATTTCTCATTACTTTCAGTTTTTCCAAATCAGTCAGTGTAATCAGTCTTTTGCGGATTGATCCTGATCTGCCTGCATTTAGCAGTACATTCAGTTAGCTTGTCTATGTGTGCCTGTATCTTTGTAGTCGGTAGCGTAGGTGATTGTGCAGATTTATATATGGCAGTATCGTCAGCAAATGTAAGTAAAGTTGTGTTGGTGTCAGTGGAGATGGATGTCGTAGATGTAGACGTTAAAGTGACGGTCCCAGGATCGAGCCCTGCGGTACTCCCGCCGTCACCTGGTTATTTTTGACTACAGTCCTAGAAATGTCATTTATAGTAAGGGAGCCAAATTCAACAAAATAAATGATTATCTACAATAACTGAAAAAGGTCAAAGTTTCAACAAAGCTCTAGGTTTCAATTGAAAGTTGATACTTTTCAAACTATATTCAATAATTTTTTGTTCTAATATTTTTCATGATAATTACGATCAATATTTATACCCCGTTTCAGCTTGACGTTGTGTTCTGAGACACCCTGTATATATCTGTGCGAATGACAGTTTTTCGAAAAAAATCTTACATTTATCTAGATTTTTTGACCAATTATTGCGAATTAGACACAAATTATTTGATCATGCTGCATGGGCACACTGTTTTTTTTACCAAAAACGTATTTAATTATTTGAATATCAATATGTAGCTCCGTAAATACAATTTATATAATACATTTTCTTGAGAAATAAGTTTGTCTTTTCTTTGTTTTATGACATAAATCATTTTTGATATGAATTTTCAAAAATATGATCGTTAAAGCCTTGATTTTGGACTTTCGACAATTCTTTTTCTAACAATAAGTTGCGTATGTCAAAAAGCATATTTTAATGGAAAATGTTCATACTAGATTTCATTAACAAACTCACTTATGTATAATTCTGTATTTTTAAAATATGAATCCAAAACATCTCTTGAAGTGCAGATACTCTTGAAGCTATATGTTGCTTGAATTTTGCCAACATTTTAATAAGTTGTAGTTGTGAGATATTAAATTAAATCACTCCTTTCTATTTTACCTTAATGTTCAATTCTTGAAGTGTAAAAAGTAAACCTGTAAATGCTTGTTATACGCATCCGTAATGAGCATTATTTAAATCGACTAATTGAATTTCAAAAAATAAAATTAATGTACCTCACATCTTGATGTATTGAAGAACAACGGTTCTGTTTAAGACAACTTAATTTGTTTTTACGTTTGAATTTGAAGAAACTACTCAGTAGCCTTGAAATATTTTCGATCAGATGTACTAAGTGGTCCATACAATCTGTGAATAAGAATAGGTAATATTCGTACGCGTACACGTGCGAAATATGTTGAATATTCTTATGTGACACGATGATATAATTTATAACCGTTTCTGTCGAGTATTTTCTGAATAAAACAAGTTTTATTTGTATAAAATTTGACAATGGTGTTTCTGTTGTGGTCATTGTGGTGTATCTAGTTTATCAACAGTTTAATTAAAATATTGGTGGCCGACGCAATGCTGCCAAAGAAGTAAAAATGTAAGTCACTTAAATAAAATTATATATTGAACTAGTTGTGGATTAAGGCAAATTGCTGGAACTTCCCGTACAATAATAAAATATCCGAAGAATATTATATGTTATAAATATATTATTATAAGTAAATTTCAATCTAGTATTTAATTTTAATAGTATTAAAAATAAAATCCAAATTATTTTCGATATTCAAATTTTTTTTTAGAAACGAAATGAAAAATACAAGCAAAAGAATAATGCTTCAAATCGGATGTTTTGTTATATCAAAAAACTGCGATTTTTGGCATATTTAGCTCCGTATCTCCGAAATGGCTGGACCTGTCTTTGCCAAAGACTAATCACCACTTCTTACTATCATTACAAATTGAATGTACTGTTCTCTCAAAAACTTATTTTCCATTTTATGCACTCTCCGCTTCATATCTCCGAAACGGCTGGACCGACTTTTGCCAAAAACTAATCAATAACTTACCCTACGGGAAGTTAAGAAATATATATTAAAAGTTTATAACAGTGTAATTAATTGCGATTAATATTTCAAAATAATTTATTCACTCAAATGCCTCATAGTTGTAATGTTGTAATATATTAAGCAATTAGAGACATGAAGGTAAATGTCCTAAAATTTATATTTATTGTTATAATATGAGCGTGTGACAAATGCACATTGAATTTCCAAGTTTTCTAGAGACATTTTAATAGTATTCCAACTTTAGCCAGATGATTTTAACGTTATTTTATCTTGCATATGAATTTGACAAAAAAAATGAAAATTACCTGACCGAAAACGTACGGGACGCATCTTTTCTGAAAAATTATAAGTTTATATTTTCGCGGTTTTTAACTTATTGTTTGCTGCATTACATTAAACTATATCAATAACATTTGATAACTTCTAATAAAGATGATTCAAATATAGATAGGCCATAATCCAGTTTAATTTCAGAATACAGAATGATATTCAATAATATTCAAATTCATTACAAGACATGATAAATTTCAATCTAATATAATATAAAATAATTCATATATTTTCATTTCATTCATTCACATTTTAATTTTCTTGGAATTGTTGAGCTTTTTTAAATTACTAGCTAACCGTGCGAACTCCGTTTCGCCACCAGATGGCTACATTTTATGTAACATTTCGTTTGGTGATTAAAAGATGAAGAAAAAAATTGCCTGCTGTTGAAATTGAATAAAAATTTGCATAATACACGTGATTGACTTGATTGGTTAACAAAAAATATTAGTTTGTAGTATATGCTAAGTATCAGCGATGACGCTGTATGTGAAAAAAGAAAGTGTTTTCCGTTTTTCTGTTGAAATCTTTCTTCAATTTTCTTTGCTATAAACCTCACGTAGTCCGAGACCTTTCCAACGAATCCAAAATCGTCGAAATCGGTTCGTGCATTCTGGAGTTATATCGTCAGGAAGGAAAACTCGACTTATTTTTATATAATAGACTAGCAAACCCGACGAACTCCGTTTCGCCTCCAGATGGTTTCGTGAGAAAGATGAAGAAATTTTTTGTTTGTTTTAAATTTGAAAAGGAAAAATTTAATTTTATTATACAACAGTAATGAATTTATTTCGATTACAAAAATGAAGTATTTTTTAGTTGAACTTCTCTAAGTAAATGAAAGTGAATCCATAATTAATTCGCAAATTTTCAACTAATTTTCTTAGCTATAAACGAAACGAAATCGTTTTGTGCGTTCTGGAGTTATATCGTCAGGAAGGAAAACCCGACTTATTTTTATATATATAGAAGATAATCTATTCGAAATTATTTAAAACAGTTATTGATTATTTTTATTACTCGAATTTTTAATTACGGTGCGGGAGTTCCAGCAGCTTGCATTAAGACACGATGCCATGCACAACTAATTTTCTTAGCTATAAACCTTGCGGAGCCCGAGACCTTTCCAACGAATACAAAATTGTCGAAATCGGTTCGTGCGTTCTGGAGTTATTTCGTCAGGAAGGAAAACCCGACTTATTTTTATATATGTAGAAGATAATCTTTCTGAAATTATTTAAAACAGTTATTGATTATTTTTATTTCTCGAATTTTTAATTACGGTGCGTGAAGTTCCAGCAGCTTGCATTAAGGCACGATGCCATGCACTACTAATTTTCTTAGCTATAAACCTTACGGAGCCCGAGACATTTCCAACGAATGCAAAATTGTCGAAATCGGTTCGTGCGTTCTGGAGTTATTTCGTCAGGAAGGAAAACCCGACTTATTTTTATATATATAGAAGATAATAAAAACATGCATTTCATGAAAAATAATATGTATATTTCATCTTTACCAGATACCATTGAAGGCACCGATACATCAGACTGGTTACAACAGTCGACTGCCTCATCGACAGAGTCTGGTACCATCCAGTGGAAGGGCCTCCAGTGAAGATTTAGACCAGCGTCGAATTCCTCCTAATCAGCCTTCGGCTTCATTACATCACCAGCAAAACGACATGCTTAAGTTTGTGTCTCGGAGGTCTCACGAGGGCGTAGACCATGCTGTGCAGGTGAATAACAAATAGTTAAATGAATGAGGATTTTACAAATAATTTGTTTAAAATAATAAAGGCTTTTATTATTCTAAGCGTTAGTCGCTTCTTTGGTAATCTCAATTGTTTGTAAAAGTTTTGTTTATCCACACTTTAGTACTTATGTTAGTTATTGCCCTGTTGGATTTTGGAACCAGTTTGCTACATCATTGGATGCGTTTAGTATCTGTCTTAAGGTTTTATTTTGCGCACGTTATGAATAATATGAATGTTTCTATTTATGTCAAGATGTTTGAAATCTTTAATAGTAAATCAACTTGACATATTCCGCAAGTCTAAACTAGCCTGACATATATAGCTTAGGTGTTACGTTCTGCTGATGAACGAAATAGTTGTTGTTTTTACATTATTTCAAAAGCATTCATTATTGGTAGAATATAAAAAAAGAATGCGCGTAAGGTTCACACGCGATTGAAGTAAAACTTATTTGCTACTGTACAACATGGCATTTAAGGAAAAAAAAACATCATATAACAATTTTGAATAATGTTTATTAGTAATATGGTAACACTCGTGATGCACACATTTATTAGTGTCAACCATTATACACATTTATATAATGATGAATTATAAATTATATATTTATAATAGAATTAAAAATATATATAATATTTAAAAATAATAATGTAATTAAAATCATACTTCAAATATGACATGATCGGTTTGTCATTGTAATTAGCATTTAGAAATGAACCTTTATTAGAGAAATCAAGTAATTGCTGATTAATAAATTCTATAATATTCGTTCACAGTGGATTATGTTAAACAACGCCTAAACAAATATTGTTTTTGCAACTTCACTCATCAGGTAATTGTGTTTGAAGAATTTCATGTAATTAAAATTTACATACATTCATTGACTGCTTGTATTTCTTTTACTTTTTCGCTAGCGATATAATCTCATTTTTTGAACAGCTGTAATATCTGTCCTACCTAAAAAATATTTTCCATTTTAATAACTTCAAAGATTCAGCACAAATGTTTAATTTGTTTTATTATTTACAAGGAACAGAGTAAAATATTCTTCTGATTCAGACATTTTTCATTAAATCAAGATGTGACTTTAAAATGTTTATTTATCCATGCCGATTTTCTTGTTGATATCCATACGCATACAACGTTGATGCCGGTACACATACAACCGCAGTCTCTATTCACATACACGGCGACTAATCACAATCGACCCGTATAGAAATGATATCGAGAGCGAATGACAAATCATTGGCACTCGACTCGGCCGTAACGCACTTCCGTTGCATTTGTACGGATTTATAACCTAGTCGCGCCTAAGGAAGTTTTACTTCAAAAAATATTGTGAATTATGTATAATAATTCTAGGTTCGAAGTGTAAATAACGGTGGTGACATTTTACAGATGCAGGGACCACCTTTACAGAGGATTCCTAATGCACCTAACGGGAATGAACAAGTTCGACAGCAGCTTCAAGCTCTTGCAAATGAAGTAAGAGCTCTTAAAGAAGCTAATAGAAGACTGACTGATGATAATCAGGTACAGTTTTTCCAAATGTAATTATAATAATAATATTGTGTAATGTCTTTAATACATGTAGATTTAAAAGTATTATAGATTTTTATTTAACTTGAGATTTGCAATTGAAATTATTGATCTTTATTCTAGGAACTTCGTGACCTTTGCTGCTTTCTGGACGATGATCGTCAGAAGGGCAGAAAATTGGCTCGAGAATGGCAGAGATTTGGCAGATACACTGCCAGCGTTATGAGACAGGAGGTAAGATATTGTTTTACATCATTTTATCATTTATATTTTATCTATTTTGTTATTCTTTTATTGATAAATATATTCAATACAATATTAAATACAAATGTGAAACATGCTGAATTCCACTATATTTTGTTGCCAATTTAAATACCGATATATTAAATACTAGTTTCCTTATTATATTTTCACTTTATTTTCTAAAAACAAAAAACATACTTAAATTATAACATGAAAATGATGTACCGAATCGTATTTTTCTGTAGCATTTAGCTCTCGCCGCTAGCCTATGCAACTTTTAGACATAGAATAATCGTGGTGCAACTATTTACAGATGTATAAACTTCTTGTACGAATTATTATTCTGTATTTTTCTTCTGTCTTTATTTTCACATTAGACAACATGTAAATTATATATAGTGCTTATAGTGTTTATAGAATACTTTAGGGAGGAGTTCCACTTATAAATTCATAGTTTTACTAAAGACTCATAAAAGTTATGAAAAACATTTTTTGATTTTTCAGTTATCATACTAATTAATACATTTAACTATGTAGGTTGCGGCATATCAAAGTAAACTTCGTCAGTTAGATGATAAGCAGCAGGAATTAATTAGAGACAACTTAGAATTGAAAGAATTGTGCCTTTATCTTGATGAAGAACGATCTGCAAATGGAGGAGCCGGCTGTAGGTAAGTAATTAGAGAAAAAGAAAATTAATATTAGCATTATTAGCTTATTGATTCTCATTTTTTTTTAAATTATTTACAGTAATGATAAGGCTTAAGGGGGTATTCTAGTGTAGAAATTCAAAAAAATCGATTTTTTTTTATTTCATATATTCAGAGTTTAACTATCTAAGAATATGGGTACAAGAAGGTTTCTGAAAATTTGAATTATTTTCGGAGATATAGGCATTTTACTGACTCGGTCTCCAGGTTTGGCTTCACGCAAAACTTGAAATACGTTTTTCTCAGAACAGACTTTTTCAGTACTGTTGACACGATTTCTCGAGTTTTAATCGACTTGAAATGTTCAGAGTCTTGTTTATAGACCTATCTATAGCCCGAACTTGGATTATCCCCAAATTCCAATTTTTATTATTTAAAAAAAAAATCGAGAAACTTAAAAAAACAGTAAAAAACACTTTTTTTAAGTCGCCAATTTGTAAAAAAAAATTTTTTTACTCATCGCGAGTTCGGGCGATTGCGACATCATTGTAGATTAATAATCTTTTTATTTTTTGCATTTCCGATGGCTAGGAGGGCTGGAATCATCAACCACCCACTTCATCAGCTGCCAGTTTTTACAATTTTCAACTTTTTCATTTTTTAATGTTTGTTTTGTATTTTAAAAAATATTAATAAACAAGTGGTAAAAAATGTATTGTAAAAACATTCATTGCTTTCTTTTACGACACTTTAAAAATGACCTAAAATTCATCGCTCTACACTAGAATACCCCATTAAGGATCATTGCTAAAAATAAAGTTTTTATATGTCACATCACACTTTCAGAGGAAAAAAATAGTCCCTTGGCTTAAAGAGTAGTTTACCTTAAAGAGTAGATTAATTAATTTTTTATAATAGTAAAAATAGCATTCAAATAGAAGTTTGATAGATTTAGGTTTTAACTATCACTATATTTCCTTCAGAAATTCAATATTTATTACAAACTAGTGATGCAAGGTGTTGTGCCTTAAGGCAAATTGCTGGAATGAAATTTTCGAGGAATTTTAAAGGTTTTTAGCGCGAGTTAAAATTGAAACCAAAATAATTTTACTTTTTTTAATTGGTAATAAAAAAAATTGAAATTTTGAAATAAAAAAGCTTTTTTTTTGCTTTCAATCAAAAGACTATTAATTTCTTCACAATGTCAACACTAATAAAATGTTTTTTTAACTAGATCCGTTCTCTTAATAACTGCCATTTTTGCTCATATGTCCGAAACTCCTGGAACTGCCTTTGCAAAATACTTATCACCACGTCCCTGTAAATGAGAATTGATTGCTTTATGAATCATTTAAATCGGTTGATCCGTGCTCTCGAAAACGCGGACGAAAAATTGTATCCACACATACATACACACACATACACAGATCATTGTTTCTACGGTATGAGAAAATGTTCTTAAAGCGCTGAAACGTAAAGATATGCTCAAATTTTCTATTTTTAGACGTTTGCTATAACTTATCCCGCGGGAAGTTAATTATATAACGATACTGATAAGTCTATTAGATCAAAGAAGTTTTTATAATTATTTTTTTTGCAAAAATTCTTAAAATCATGTGAACTTTCTCTTAATTGTAAAATTTTAATTACCAGCAGGTGCCGGTCATCGCAATCTGCTAATCAGTCCAGTGGCGGTGGATCAGGTGCTGTCTTAAGAGATGATGGGGATGGGAGCAGCAGTAGTACGAATGCTGATGAACCTCCTCCGCCACCGCCGCTGCCGCCGCCGCACTGCTCATCAAACGCCCCAGGAAACAACGGCGGACCGCAAACGGGCGGAAGAGAAAGAAGAGATTTGCACTCTAGAAGTGCTTTTAGCGATCAAACTATGAGGTAACAATTATGTGAATAATATCAAATTGATTTGTTGAAGATGGATTTAATTTTTCATTATATTAAACATTTATTATCCCATTTTATTTCCCTATAAAATCTAAATTTTTATCATTTTACTTTAATGCGCATCTTTCGTAATTTTCGAGGTATTATGAACAGACGATATATTTTCCTTAAAATGTGATTTTTATTTGAAAAATATGTGTTCTAGATCAGTAAATCTGATAGAATCTTTCAAATTCTTTCTATTAATTTTAATTCTACACCAGGACTTTTAAACTATGAGTTGCTACTCCATATTGTTTAACAATAAACGCCATTAGGTCGGCCCAATATGCCTTTTGCATTTGCTGAGGAAGAGCAATGCTAAAATTTGAAAGAAGATCATTGTTTGTCATCATATTATTGACAGCTTGCCGATGTTGAATATTTTGATTAAAGTCTAGCCATTTGTGATGATTATTTACTAAATTTAAAAACGTGAATCATTTTAATTCAAATAAAGTATCGTTGAACATTTATGAAGGTTGATGCAGTCATTGAAGATTGTATGTGAATGTAATCTACTAAGATAAATATGAAGAATTTATGAAATTACCAGGATTTGTTTATGCAATTCAAACATTAACACTTATATCTATTTTAAAATAAATACCATCCGTGAAAAATTGTTAGTAGCAAGTGGAGTATTGAACTATTACATCTAATGTATATATTACACATACAAATTGTGATACTTGGATAAAACTTTAATGGATTAGAATATTTCGCAGCAATGGCGTAGACAAGATAAAATTTTATGTTGTATTACTGATGAAGTTAAAAATGATCATTTTTAAAATAAGGATGTAATCAGAAGTGGGATGGAGTAACATGCAGTACGAAACGTATCTAACGCATGTCAATCATTCAATTTGTAACAATTCCATTTTTGTGTAAACACTCAAACACTCAATGTAGATTCAAGTCTAGAATATTTTTGAGAAATCAATTAGCAATCGGTTTCCGCAGATACGTACGCAGTCTTGAATCACGCGTTCGACAACTCGAGGCAGAACGACTCGGCACTGCGCCGATTTCCACTCAACAGAACCAGCAAATAAACAGCGAACCAGCTTTAGCTGGTCGACCCGAGGCAGTGGTTCGGGCCTTACAAGTATTAGAAGTAAGAGAAGGTTTGGAATCTTCGGAAAATCATCAGCTAAACACTGCCTTGCTGAGTAACCACCTTCCCATGCATCAAGGTATATTTTATAAAACATTATTTGATGATGCTTTTTAGGGTATATTTTTCCATAGGGTATATGATGACAATCTAATATATGCTATAATATAATAATGTGATATTTATGTTATTTTGAAATAAATGGTACTGTTTATGCTGTATACATTGAAATGATATAGGTAGTTGGTAGTAGGTCTAGGTATGGGTTAGGGTCCAATGTTGGTAGATCCACACTCCAGATCAATGGTAGCTACAGTAGATTATTTATCCAATTGGGTAATAAGTCCGTCCAACCCTTTCCTGGTGCCTTGGGTCTAGCAGTAGAAGTAAGTTTGAGTTAATGGTTTGATAAATAGGTCTCTTCGGAATAGTGAGCCCTTTCAGTAAGATATTAGCTGAAAGAGATAGACTTCTGGCTTTTAATATAAAATTCACTTGTAGTATTATACACTTTATTTATTTCTTCTTATTACAATTCCGACAGACATAATCTTCTCGTAAGATATTCTAAGACTACTCTCTTAAGACATCATCACTTGACAAGACTCTCTCTTAAGACATCACTGGTTTACAATGATAATTTTGACTCTATATATTACGTACAGGACGTGACAAATTCCCGGAATGGCGTGCTTCCGCGTTCATGCAAAGATCTTGGACTTTGAATATTTAATTAACATTGAATAATAAATTTATATTTTTATTAAAAAACACGTACAATCATATTATTACAGAACAACATTTATGTGTACTTCATGGAGTCGTCGCTTATTGTTAGTGCAGTTATTTTCCTTTGATGCTTTGACCAGGAGATGAATAGGATCAACATTAAATATTTCAAGCTAGATTTTGCTCGATCTCATCACCTAGGTGAAAATAAACAATAAAATAGCTATTTTGTAAACTACCAAACTTCTGTTCATATTGGTTTTTGATACAAAGTGCCAGCCACAATTTTTAGTGAAACTATTAAATAAAATAACTGACAACATGTGCAAATTCCAGAAAGAATTAAGAAAAGTCGTTTTGTTTGAAATTGCTCATTTGCATAACCAACAAGCACAGACTTGCAAGATTAGGGGATTATGTGATATTAAATGTTTGGAGCAGCATAGTTCTATTAGCATATTGTTCCTTAAAAAAAATCTCAGGGTAAAATCTTATAAACTTAAAGGTTACCAGTTGGACACTCAATTGACTCAAAATATGGATCATATGGATGACGGCGAGAAAGCTCTGGTCAGAGAAATGTGCAATGTAGTTTGGAGAAAACTTGAAGAAGATGGACCTCCAGCATGAAGTCAAACTTTAATGCTGAAATATTACTAACAATGATAAAGAAATTCAAAACAGTATTTTCGGCTTGTTTGGGAAAGGTATGAAATAATTTCATTTGAAGCTTGAAAATGCAATGGTCATATTCTTCTCCTTGTAAGCTCGGATTAAAATAAATACTCAAACTTTGTCACCTAGAGTAAAAGGTTAGTAATTTAAAAATGAAATATACACGAGGTTTAACATTTGTAAATATATATGTGAATGCGTTATTCAAAGCATGCCATTTACAATATTGTGCATTGTATTCAAATTTACTTTAGAACATGACCAATTATTTATATACCTATGATTCATTATGTAGTACATATTACAATATGTACTACAACGAATTCATAATCAATATTATTAATTTCAAAGTGAAAATAAGAATTATTTAATGATTTAACAATATATTATTATCAATTTATTGATATGAGGCCGTCTTTGCAGTATTCGTTATTTTTGTATATTTTTGTTATGCTAACTAATAATTATTGATACAAATTAAATTATTGATACATTAAGTATTTTAATCAGTTTAATCGTTATTTATTTTACCAATAAGTAAAATATATGTAGATATTTAGATGTAAACATTCGTAGTTTTGGTATTCAGAGACAGTAAAACTATTTTTACAGATATACGTATATTATTAGTTCAATTTATAACCATTGAAAATATAGATACATAATTATATTAATTCATTAATATCACAATAGTTGATAATAATTCTAATACTATATGAACAAGTTTATTATAAAATACCACAAAAAGCCTTTATAAATATATCACATCTTGGCTTTTAGTGCTAATTGTTGTTGATGAATATTCTTTATATATTATATATACATAACATTTTAAGACAGTTTAACAATTCCTGATGTTCCTGATTCCTGAGATATATTTTATTCCAGTTTTCAAAAATGCGTTAAAACGTATCGGTTGCTCCATTGATCCCTCTTATTAGAAATTTATAAGTTTTATTGTAAACTTATTTTATTTTTATTAATTACTATAATATAAAAGTTTTCTCTAAAGTTCTATTTCTTTTTTCTTATTAAATATACTGAACAAAATATAAATAAAATAGAATGTTGAGGTTTCTCAATTAAATTCTCAAGAATTACTATTCAAATGTTTATAACATGAAATAGAACTAATGCAATGTACATAAGTTGATGATGTTCACTAACCATTACATTAATTTCAATAATAACAGGATTGCCTTTATATGTTATGAAACTTTTCAAACTCCGATACTGTTGAATTCTTGGCAACGTATTCCCTGTACATTCTTAAATCTTCTAAATGAGGCTTAATGTACCCCTCTCTTGCTGATTCTATATATTTCTGATACATATCTATTGATTCTTGTGGAACAATAGGTACTTGAACACTGTAAACACTGTCTTCGGGAATATCATTATTGGGAACTATTTTCAAACAAGTAGTTAATTTTGAAATCGGTAATCGCCCTCTCGTTTCATCTCGCAGATTTTCCAGTAGATCATTCTTCGATTGTTCATGTGTTAGTAGATATGATTTAGGTGTAGATTGTCTATGTATTGCTACATATTGTTTGTATCTGAAAAAGATTTAAATGAATGAAAAATGGAGAGATTTTTTTAATGCAAAATTAATCAATGCAAGTCGACGTCGAGAAAACGTCGACGAGAGGTCAAAAATCGCCTCACATACATACACACACACACATACATACATCCTTTTTTTTGATTTTGGTCTCATTCGATTCCTAATGACTAGAAACGTCGAGAAAACATAAACTAATGGCGCATGGTATCGTGCCTTAAGGCAAATTGCTGGAACTTCCCGTACCGAAAACTAAATTATTAAAATAAACTTTGTAAAACTTTGAAAAAATTAGATTTTTGAGAAATTTTGAAATTTTTGAGTAAAAATGACGTTCTTATATCAAAGCGCGTAAGCGCCTCGTAGTCGTATAGCGTGCAAACATTGGTACGGAACCCATATAAATGTAAACAAAATTTGTACTTATTATTATAATTTTTATAAAATATCTGATAATACGATATACATAAGTCTAATGTTCATTTTTTACCGCCACATGGCATTATTTTTTCCTTTTTCTTTGGATTTCTGGAGACGCTGGACCTGCCTCTACAAAGATCTTACCAATTGTTCATTTCGCCAATACAAGTAAAATGTTGTTGAACTGAAATTCCATTTTTGGCACTGTTTGCCACATATCTCCAAAACGGCCTGCCTTTTCAAAAACTAATCAGCATGTCTCCTTATCAGTAGGAATCGAATGTTTTTTGAATTATTCCAATCGGTTGATCCATGTTCGCGAAACACACACGCACACACATATATATATCCATTTTTTAAGGTATGCCAAAATGTTCAGAAACCTCTGAAACGTAAAGATATACGAGGTCTGTTCAAAAAGTACCCGGAATTACTAATAATTAAATTTCGCGGGTCTGGAGTGTCTGATTGTCAAAATTTTTTTTTTATTGTGTTGGTATACATGCCCCTAAAGCAGCGTTTCTCAAACTTATTTCTTCTATCGCCCCCTTTGAAGATCAAAATTTTTGTATCGCCCCCCTACCAAATTTTTTGCACAATCTCTGAAAACTGTGTTTTTTTACTTTTATTAATATAGTTATAGTGTGATATATTAGGTGATGCAACCTTAAATTCTAAATTAGACATTTTTACCAATGAGAGAAAATGCAACTTTATGATATTAATCATATATTTTATATATTATAATCAAGTGATTAGTATATCAAATTTTATTTTCAAACTCTAATGAAAAGGATGAATTTGATGGCTTTTACAAGTTTGTCAATATTAGGTTCCATTGACTCAAAAACAGTCGTAAGTTACCTCGTTTGGTAATTTGCAACGAATTTCTGTTTTTAGTAAGTAGCATTGTCACAGCGCTAAATCACACAAATATGACGATGGAAATGCTAGTAAAAATTTTTGAACAACCTATAAGCTCTTCTTCTAGCTGGGCTGATGTTTCTACATTTGCATTCAAATATCTTGAAATCTTTCAATAAAATTGCCATGAAGATTTTCCAAATGTTGGCAGTATACGAGCAAGTCTTCGTTGCACGATACCGATGAATTTGGAAAATTATGAAACTCCCGTCTTCCAATATTTTTCTTATGTAATAACAGTTTGGCTACAAAAGCAGCGATGATATTTTTTGTTTTTTTAAATTTAAGCCATAGCCTTGAAATTGTAGATTCATATTGTTGAGCAATGCATAAAGTCTGTGAGATATGCTATGCTTGATGATATCAGGTTTTTACACAACTGTGTGTCCTTATTTTCTAAAAACTCTACAACAGAGTCGAACAGATTGTAAAAACGGGTCAGACAATTTCTTTGTCATGGCCAATTTTTTGGTAAAAAGCTATAAAATGGCATCAAAATCATTTGAACACCATGGAAACACGATCGAACTTATAAAGTACCAATTAATCGTTGGGATACAAATTCTGGTGAACTTTAAAATGTAAAGTAAATAAAATTACAAATGCCCTTAGCCCAACGTCAACAACCAACATTTTTCGCGAGGTCTTTCATCGCCCCCCCTGAAGATCAATATCGCCCACCAGGGGGCGATATCGCCCACTTTGAGAAAGACTGCCCTAAAGTATGATGAAATTTTCAGCTATATTCACTGTTTACTTTGTCTGTGGTAGTCGCTAAGGTTCGACGTGTTTTTCTGAGCTCGGCGATTTTTACAATGGAAGAATTGAAAAGTCAAAGAATTTGTATTAAAATTTTGCGTAAAAAATGATATAAAGTGTTGCAAAGTGCAAAAATTCACCAGATATGGCTCCGTGTGACTTTTTCCTATTCCCAAAGTTGAAGAGACCCATGCAAGGACGGCGGTTTTCCTCGATTGAAGAAAATCGCTGAGAGTGCTCAAGGACATATCAAAAAGTGAATATCAAGGGTGCTTCGAAAATTGGAAAAAACGCTGGCATAAGTGTATTATATCTGGGGGGGACTACTTTGAAGGGGACCACATTAATGTAGACGAATAAATATTTTTTTGAAAAAACGAAAATTCCGGGTACTTTTTGAACAGACCTCGTATAAAAAATATCATTTTCGATTTTTTTGCGATTACTATAACTTACCCTACGGAAAGTTAAATAACAAATCGGATTTCCTTGTGAAAACTAAAAAATCTCCTTCGAAAATTAATTATTTTCTAAAGGCTTCAAGAGATATATTTAAAATAAAACAATTTGGCATAGGAGCATTTAAACCAAGATGCTTTGAGCACAAAAAAATATCTTTCAGTTTCCACCTTTTACAAAATTGTTTAATATCTCTTTAAATTGAAGTTTGTTTACTTAATGAGGTTGATAAAAATATATCAGTAAAAAATAAGTTTTTTCGAACTCTCTTTAATATTTGGGTTTTGTAAGAAAAGACATACATATCCAAATCTTCTTGGTCAGGTTCTTTGGGCTCACATCCATATACTTTATCCATGGGTGGAAGAAGATCCTGATATTTTCTAAGTATTATCTGTGGCACTTCTGCTATATTTCTTTCAGACATTTCTGATCCTGGTTCGTCATCACTTGAAGAATCTGAGGTTTCAGTTGAACTAAAACCCAATATATCCCATTAATACAAATACCTGTATGACTATTTCTAATAAGTGCTTTACCTAGTACTACTGGTCGTGCTACTAGTGGAACTTGTTGAGCTTTGTCCTGAAACTGATGGATTTTTATTAGCACCAGGACCTCTGCCTCGTACAATAAAAGGACTATTATCTGAAGTATAATATGGTGTATTACTCTTCATATATGCAAAGAGATCCTGTAAGACACTTAATTCATGTGGTCTGAAATTAAATATATTTTGAGTTGAAAATTAAATTAGAACAATATTTAATGATCATTTTGAAGCTGAATAGCCGACCTATGATAATCAGCATATACATCGACCATATCTACATCTGAACTGGGTATTTGTATTATTTCGGTTACTGATTTATGTTCATCACTATATGCATTTGGAAGACATTTCATAACAGATGGATTCCACCATTGAGTTTTGGGTTTCCTGGAAAAACAATAAATCAACAACATAGGTCAAATTCAGAACATGTGTAATCTATTAAGAAATACTCACATCTTAGAATTTGTGTATTTTAAAGCTTGAGGATTGTGCAAATAAAAGTCTGTGCTCAACTCCCAAATGGCCGGAAGAGTTTCCGAAGGAACAAAGTATCCCAAAAATAAATTGATAGTGTTCTGTTTATCAGCATCACTGAAAGTGTTACTATAATATCTACTTAATGTTTGCATAATGTCATTACCCTGGCTGGTCCAGGGTGCTGTTTTTCGATAAGTCTTTATTCTATGCACTAGTTGAGATCCACCATACTGAAATTGAGATAGAAATGGATAAATACAAATACCACTACTAAAATAAATGATTAATGTGGCATTTTAATAGTCACCACTATATGTACAATACAACTTATAGGATCGAATTAAATGAACTTTGATACATTTTGCAGCTAGGTTCTAGGTTACAATTACAAACCAAACTGTAAATATGTTAAAAGAATTTCTTGTTTTTTAATGCATACGTACTATACATAGATTTTACAATACCGATTCTAAATTTATAAAGTGATAGTAAGATTTGATGAAGACAAGACTTATGAGTTGATTGCGGAAATCTTATTTAGTGTAGAAGAAAAGTTTATGTGAAAATTCAAGTATTATCTAATTTTGAAACGCATTCTTCTTTGTAAGTTTTGATTCTGAAATTCAGACGGTATTCAAAATTGAATCACATACCTGAAGAGCTAAAGTATCTCCATGATCTTCATATAATCCTTCTAGCATTTGGACACAATCAGAATCAAATTGGAGTAATGGTGAATCCAATAAACCCAATGCATAAAGCTATAATTTGTTCAATTTGCTTCATTAAATTCAATTAAATATATTTATATTATTTTTTCATACTTGATGAGCCATGGCACATTTTCCTATAGCAAACTGAGCGGTATTGGTTCGATCCAGGCAATCAACACAATTTATTCTGATAATTCCTGTTTGTTTTCGTCCTTTGCCGTCATGTGTAACTGCTGAACTAATGTACATTCCTGTTTGAAGAACTGTATCTTGTGCTATTTTTGCTAATTGCTTCATCACATTACTATTATTCCTTGATTTACGGGCCATATCAAAATGGATGTAATGAATTCGATGCTGAAATAGAAGACAAATTTATAACAATTGCATTTAAATCAAGCTATGCAGTTTATTTTACAAAAGGAAAATATTCAGTGCTGATCTAATACCTGGGGAGGTAAAAATTGATTCAGGTATTTAACAGATGAAAGAATTTCATCTGTAAGTATACTTTCATGCCGTTTCTTTTCGCGTTTTTTAACTAAGTTCAATATTATAATGGGTGATCCATAGTGTTTTAAGAGTCGATTGAAATGCGCGCCTGATGTCTCTTTATATGGGTCGGATAAATCCAGACCTATCGGCGGTTTTGGCACCATTTTGCTAATGTCCTGGAAATAAAAAAAAAAGATTAAAATACTTAAACTAATATATATATATATATATATATATATATATATATATTAGATTTAATACTATTTTCACGCTACTCAGGTTAATTTTTTTTATGTTAGTTATAGTACAAAAACTATCACCTCGATTTTGCTTGATGTTGAGTTCTGGGATACCCTGTATATGTATATATGTATATCTTATATATAAAAATGGATCGCAAAATGTGTTGGTAAGCGCATAACTCAACAACACCTGGACCAATTTGGCCAATTCTTTTTTTAAAATGTTTCTTCATGTCCAAAGATGGTTCTTACGGCGAGAAAAAATCGAATAACTGCAGGAAAACCCTAAAAACAGCCCTTTTCTTTTTTACATACAAACGTTTTCTAACTAAAACGTAGAATCACTTAACGTTTCATATATCATTTTATTCGTAATTTTAATCTGCATCTTTCGTCCGAACAAAGTTTTTTCGTATCTTCTACGGTTTGGATTGTAAAGAGCAATTTGTGTGAATATTCAATAGTTCACACTTCACACTATTCGATATTTCTCTAAAGAAAACAAAGTATTATACATCGTTAGAAATGTCTTAAATTCTTAGATCTTTTCCCATATTTCGCAACTTCGAATTCCTAACGGTGTGGCCTACAGGCGAGTTGCAGTAATAAAATTCAAGGAAAACTAGAAAATCTTGAAAAAATTATATGAACGCACATAACGATTTATATATCATTTTATTCGTAATTTTATTCGGCATCTTTTATCCAAATAGAATGTTTTAGTTTCTTTTACGGTTTAGTCTGGAGTATGGAATTTGTGTAAATATTTATTTGTTCAAATGCAAAGTACGGTTAGGTTTGAGCAATAAGCCACACTGTTCGATATTTATCTAAAAAAACCATATAAATTGTTAAGTGGAACTCCAAGTCACAAGGGCAGAAAATGAACTTATTTTATTTATTTATTTACTTATTTATTTATTTATTTATTCATTTATTATACGCCAATCAGCTATATACAGTTAATTATTTACAGATATTTTGCGAAATTAACTTAAAAAATGCACGTTTTAGTCATGGCCTAATATACTATTAACTATATGTGGCTTACTCGAGAGTTAGAAGTACAAACAATTTAATTATTTATGCACCTACAGGTCTGACAAAAATATTGTATAGCGTTAATTGATGTATTAAAAATAAATTCGTTCTAAAAAATGTTGTGTAAAATTATTTATATACAATGTTAATAATCATATTTCGATATTTATCTGTTTGATATATGCTATATGTTGTGATGTAGCTGATTTGGTTTTTACTGTATAATTGAAATTTAAGTGTAGAAATTGTACATACATTTCGGTATAGATTGTAGTGTTGAAAACATTAATGGTTATTTTTAACTAAAAGGTAAATACCAGTGGTTTTTAAAAAATTGGAATTTTTAGGCATGGGTACAGGACAACGTCTATATATATATGGTGTTATAAATTTATATAATATTGATTTATCATTTATTACTTGTGACCAATGGCCTGGAATCGATCCTCTCATTTGAACAAATGAACTGAATCTGCCTTCTGCAAGAGAGGATGTGCCTGAGTCATAGACAATTTGCTCTGTTTCTACCTCATTAGCTACATCCCCTGAAAAATTTGCTCCTCTTTTCAAAAACCTAGTAAACGGAAAACCTTATAAAAAAAACATCATTTCATATCATTTTTCATTTTAATTTTCACATCATATTCTATTTTAATTCATTTCAGGCTCTTGAATTTAAAAGAAATGTGTAATATTTATTTTATTATTACGTACCTTGTTCCTGCAAATTTATTACTTCGCCTTGCAATAATAGCTATATGCACTGGTCTTCCAAAAATACTCATATGTAGTTGATCTATAAAACCATGAGTTATATACAAAATCCAATCAGGATGAAGAATTTGGTCAATTGGTTTCAGTAAATGAGAGTTCCATACAAATCTCATTCTAGGACTTCTTCGAAACCCGTAATCTACTCTTTCTGACCTATATATGAAAAACAAATATATTAACTTTATTAATTTATGTTATATAATAATATACCTACATAGGTATATATTTATAAAGGTATATATGTCAAGTATAGGTAAAATACAAAGATGAAGAACTTACTTATAATATTAAGTTGAGACTCAAACAAGGAATATAAAATAGTAATTACAAAAATAAGTTTTTAAATTATTATTATTTGCTGTCACCGTTTTGGAATTATGTATGTTCCATGTTCAAGGCAACAGTTAAAAAGAAGTTTGAAAATAAACGAATAGACCCAGTACAAAAAAATAATAATATAATAAAATAAGATCTAGTAAATCTAATATGAAAATGAATGGATTGAATAACAAAATGTGTTCTTTTTTATTTTACAAAATGTGTTCTTTTTTAACATTTTTATTCAACTTTTTTATTATTTTATTTTGATAATTCTTCATATAATCCTATTCTATTAAATTTGTTTGTTTATCTTCTAAGAAAGACCATGTTATACAAATAAATAGCTCCAAAACGACAACAATAAATAATAATTGTTAAAAAAAAATCTAATATGGATTCTTTTAAAAATTTGTTAAATCTTAAGATTTTGATTTTCTCTTCAAAGCTTAACACACACACACATATATATATATATATATATATATATATATATATATATATATTATTGTATTTAATTATATTATATACTGTACTTTTCCATTTTTGACCCAAAGTTGGGTAATGGCTCTGAGTCACTTTCATAATCAGCATCTTGCGGAGTGTTGAATGATTTCTTGGATGAAAAATATTTTGGTGGGGCAACATTATTTTGAAGAGGTCTTGTTAAATCATAACTGTAACTGCAATAAAATATTCGAAATGTGGTTTCTACTAAATGAAATATATTATGAGCATACCTAAAATAAAAGTTGCTTTTCAGATCGATACTTTGAAACATTTTCACATATTTAGGTTCATTTGGATGAATGTTTTTACTATCCAGACATATTGGAACCATGAGCGTATCTTCTATTTTATACAAAATATGTAAACCAATTTCTGCTATTCTTCTTCTTTTAGTAATTAAAATAATATAATATCCATGTAAGAATCTAATAAACCCTGCAAGCATATTTATTTGAAAATCACAATTCAATAATACTCATATCAAAAGACTGACCTACTATGCCAAATGCATAAAATATTTTAACAGTACTCCCACGAGCTTTGTGCATTGTTGTAATTTTGTTAACTAGATTACTTATATCTCGAAACCCATACTCTATTTTATCATCAGTAATGTTCAGTTCTGTAATATTTCTTCGATCAATATTCAATAAGCGAAAACGAGTTTGGGCATTGTTGGAGCCAACAATGTAGATTTTCTATAAAAGAAATAGATGTAATTATTTAAGATAAGCATGAAACAAGTTATTTTTTTTTTTCAAAATATTACAAATATTACAACTATAATATTATTATTCATAAAATATTTTGTTATGAATAATATTTCATAGGAAATAGGTTTTATGTTTCTATTAAACTTATGACATGAGTGATGTAATTTGAAGAATGATTAGTATACCATCGAAGTTTCATTAATTTTTTTTTAATAGCAAATTATAGCTACAATTTAATAATAATAATAATAATATAATCTCTGATTAAAGACAGCAATTGTGAATATGGATTATTAGTATTGCTAAGAGTTGTTAAAAAATAAAAACAAAATAATAAGAAGCATATAATTAAAATTAAAATATAATCAAATTTTATTAGATACAAATTGCAATTGAATAATTACAAAATGGTAAATTCTTGTATTTAAATAATTTCTATAAGCGATAAGTTATAACTTATAATATGACATAATTTCTGACCCAACATAACTGTGGGTCATTTTATATTATGATAATTATAAAAACAAAGTTGTGGTCCAATATAATACTAAAAATTCCACAGCAATATTAATTTTTTTGCAGATAACATACTTCCTTTGTTTCGTATAATGCAAGCTTTTGTATAGAGCATATAATAGGATGAAACATTACATTATTAGATGACATTTTAATAATTTTTCTTTAAACACTTGCGCTTTAAATTAATAATTTGCTATTTTATTTACAACTAATCTAATGGTAAGTACTCTTGCGACAAATGTCAAAGTGACAGCAGCATATTGTTGTTTAGGTTATGCGTTTATTTCTGAGTTTGAAGTTTACGTTTGCCAGAAAATCTGCTAATTTTATGTTTTCCGACGTTTCAAGTCATTCTGAATCATTTGTGACTAAAATTGGAAAAAGTATGGTGTTTATATAGGAGCTGATTTTTAACCATTCATCGACGTTTCCTCAAAAAACGGCTGATCGATTTCAAAAATTTAAAAGCTATGTGATAAAACTCGATCACAACTAGCTATAAAATTTGTAGGAAATTCCTCCTTAATTAATTTTTAATTCTTCCGTAGGGCAAGTTATAGTAATCGCAAAAAAAATCGAAAATGAAAATTTTTGCATTTCTCGACGTTTCACAGGTTTCTGAATATTTTGGCATACCTTAGAAAAAATGGATGTATGTGTGTGTGTGTGTGTGTATGTATGTATGTGCGGATACAAATTTTCGTCGACGATTTCGGGAACACCGATCAACCGATTTGAATAATTCAAAAAACATTCGATTTGTATTGATAAGGAGACGTGCTGATTAGTTTTTGGCGAAGGCAGGTCTAGCCGTTCCGAAGATACGGGGCAAATAGTGCCAAAAACGGTAACTCAGTTTTTAAGAGAACGGAGCGTCCGATTTTAATAATTCAAAAAACATTTTACTTGTATTGACAAGGTGAAGAACCGATCAAATTTTCATAAAGGCAGGTCTAGCGGTTTCGGAGATTTAATGAAAAAAGTAAAAAAAAATGTCATTTGGCGGTCAAAAACGATCATTAGACATATGCACGTCAAATTATCAGATATTTTATAGAGATTTTAACAATAAGTATAAATTTGGTTTACATTCCTATGGGTTCCGTACCAATGTTTACGCGTTAGACGTCGACGCGGCGCTTACGCGGTTTGATATTTCGTCTTCATGCAGTTAAAGCAGTACGATTGCTTTGAAAAAAAGTTTAGATCTTTCAAAATATGTCAAAATAAAGAAAAAAAATTTTTTTCACAAAAAAAAAATTTTTTTTCAAAAAAAGTAATTTTTTGTCCAATGTATAGTTTCTCAAACATCTTATTTTTTCGAAGTAAAATTATTTCAAAAATGTTAATTGTTTTTAAAAAAATAATAATTTTTGGTACGGGAAGTTCCAGCAATTTGCCTTAAGGCACGATGCATTAATTGCCTTAAGACAGAATTCCACTTACAGCTAGTTTTGGTTTATTTTCTAAAATCGTATTTCGCGCGTGCTCCGCAGGTTGGAAACCACGGAGTTGTTGTTGATCATCTTCTTTCTTTTCCCGCCTTTGAATATATTGTATGATATGTCTAGGTTCTGGTCCTTGTGAAAAATATTCTTGCTATCCTAAGTTCTTTAACAGTTTTGTGCATTTATCATATTTCAGTATTATTTTATGTGAATAGAGTAATAGTTAACATATAATTGTTATTAAAAGAACTTGTATATTTGTCTTGTCAGTTTCAGTTTCTTTCGTAGGTTTTAAAAAGTTTTGATTTTGAATTTATATTTATGTAAGTTAGGTTAGGTTTGGTTAGGTTAGGAACCAAACCGTTCATATTTATTATTCATTTTGTTTATTAAGGTTTAGCATATGTTTTTCATTTCTTTATTTCAGCTCTCTTTTAATAGGTTAGGTTAGGTTCATAGTATTGTTCTCATAAATATCATAGCTTTTAATACGTTTTTAGTTATTTTGTCAATATTTTTTACTCTTTAATACGTTTATAATAAAGTTAGTTGCTTTATAGTTTTACGTTACTTTCAGTTATTTTTTCATAGCTTTTAGTACGTCACGTTACTTAATTTTTTTCATTCAACATGAAAGTCCAGAAGCAATGTGCTGATTGCTTGAAGTTTTTTTCCTCCAGTAGTTCGCTTTGTCGTCATAGTAGATTGATACATGGCAAACAGCCTAGACAATATTACAGAAATTATAAATGCACATATTGCGAAAAGATATTACATTATCCTTATTCATTGCAAAGGCACATGAAGACTTACCATTCTATAGACCCCATAACCTACCGCACATTTTTTAAAAATCCACGAATTAATCCAGAAACATCCCTTGCACTACATTCTTATGTTCCTCCTTCTTTATCAATTTCTTTCATACATTCTCATTCCTGTGCTAAGCCTTCTTCACCAATTCCGAATCCAGAAACATTCATATGCCCTTCAATCCTTGCACTACATTCATATGCCCTTCCTTCTTCATCAATTTCTTCTGCACCTTCGCATTCCTGTGCTACACCTTCTTCACCAACTTCTAACCTAGAAACATTTCTTGCACTACATTCGTATGCTCTCCCTTCTTCATCAATTTCTTCTGGACCTTCTCAATCCAGTGCTTCAACTTCACCAACTCCTCCCATAACCCCCAACTGTAACACTGATTCCTTCACTCCACAACTATGTTACCCACAATCATCCCAAATATTACCAGATCTTACCAGTTCACCTATTCTAATAATACAAACTCCCCAAATGTCCACATCGCTCCCAACTATTGCATCCCAGACTAGCCAAGAAATCACAGGTATTTTAATATAAGAATTAATTATTGAACTATATTCAACAATACATCCAAAAAATAATAATTGTGAATATATAGGTTCTCCAAGGGTTCTCAGAATTACATGTCCCGTTGAGGGTTGTGGAAAGGCTTGTACAAGGTACAATGCACTGCAAAACCATATTCAGCGTGACCATGAGATTAGTATTGAATGTGAACAAATGTCTTTTTCTTCTATTGATGGTTTGTCAACTTTTAATTCTGGGTATTTTCAACACTCTTATTTATAATTCTATCTTTTCTGTAGATTTTAACAAATGGAAAATTGAAACAGAGCAGAGTGATGTCTCATCTTATGTGAAAGATACCTCAGCATACAAAGCAAAAAATGAATACCACATTGCTTATTATAATTGCCATCGATCTCACTCTTCTGTGGAAAAAAAGAAAAAAACATTTTCAAGAGTTTTCAAGAGCAAAAAAATTGGGCATGCTTGTCCCTCGCGGATCGTTTGCAAAATGCATAATGACGGACATATTAACGTTGATTATTATAAGACACATGTAGGACATGAAAAGGTGCTAAAATTTTTACCACTGGACCAAAATTTGAAACAAAACATCAAAGGTATATTTATAGATCATTTACTTTTATATATATAAGTATGAAATTTATCATCATTCATAACATAACTATTTACAGATAAAATTCTTGCCGGAGAAGATGCAGATGTTATAATAAAGAGTATTCGCAATAATAAATTATTGCCGCCCAGGGCAGCTATGATAACAAAAAGGATTTATGGAATATAAAACGGAGAGTTTTACAACCACATAACACATTTCAAATATAATATAATTTTGCTACAACTCAGGAAAATATTTCTTGGTGTTGATACATATGATTGTTCAGAACTACATCAGCTGTAAAATTGAAGATCAATGTTAGACGAATGCATGGGGGGTAAACAATAGAACAAATGAACTTTTGTTATATTGTTGAGATTTTATGCCAAAGGGCTTTACTGCTCCCATATTCCAAGTTCATATAGTGTGTCAGTATATGTCTGCATGAAACACATTGAATGGTAATACACGATAATAATCAATTATGAACTAGAAAAACAAAATTTGTTGGTTATAATTGTATTTTGCTAAGATTGTTATGTATAAGTGAATGCATTATAAATAGGTTTGAATATGGTCAAGTATCACTTATCATAGTGTTTAAACACCAAAAAGCATATTACATTGCACACAACAAACTCTCATGGATTCCATATTGGAACCATATTCTGTAAGTAATATGTTTAAAAAAATAAAATACTTAAAGGATAGTTACTTAAATACTTGAATAATTTTAGAACTAATAAAGTCACTTTGCAACAGAGCAGTAGAAGCATAGTCATACCAATCATTAGTAACTTGTAATCCGGTCTCAGGTAATTATACAAAGTTATTTTTTTTATTCGGTATTATTAATTTCATTTCATTATTTATACATAATTATTTGTAGTATGTTTGAAAGTGCCCTGAAATGGAAACAAACTTTGATTAGATATCCAAAAGACAGTGACTTACACCTATGAAAACAGATGAACAGATTAAAAGTCTTTCAAAAGAAATTTGCTGCACACCAGAGCGACAAAAACTGTTTTTAAAACCATCAATTAGTTTGATTCCAGTTGTTGGTGGATATTTTGTCATCTTTTCATTCACCTTCAACTCATTGTGAGGTTGGTGATACTACTGGCTTACTTACTTCAGAGAATTTTTAAATTTGTATTTGAGAATTTGTCATTGTACAGTAGAATTGCTAGCGCATACGGAAATTATCAGTTGTGTAAATCAGAACTGTTGGTGAATTAAATTAGCACAGAAGCTTCATGAATATCTATAGTTATGTTATAGTATTATCATCAAGTAATAGATATGATTTTATCTATTAGATGAAATTTATACTTTTAGAAAACTTTGGACAAAAGATCTAAATCTGGAACAAATATTGCTTTTAGATAAACCTGAGACACAATGGGGAAATCGAGGACTGTCCCGGTCAAACAGGACATATGGTCACCTGAATTAAATGTGTTTGGTGTTTGGCTTAATTTATTTCAGCAATGTTTTAACAACTTGCTACATTACAGAAATAAACATTAAATTATAAATAATTGTTATTGTAAATAAATTTATATTGAACTTTTATAAATTGATTTTATTAAAAATGAAATATATTATTTAATATAAATATAGTTTTTCTACTTTCTTCAAAAATCTGTATTAAATGTATTTCTAATTATAGAAAGCCGTATGCCATATACTTTTGCATATATTTTTGCAAATGCAAAAAAAAAAATGATATAATTTTTTTTTGCTTACCCCAAAATGGATCGTTTCGTCTACAGATAAAGTATATATGATTTCATCAATACAAGCAAATGGTTTTTTGAATCATTCAAATCGGATGCTTCGTTATGCTTATTTATCTATAGCTTCGTTTTATTAAACTACCAATTTTGCACATTTAGCTCCTTATCCCCAAAATGTCTTTGTCAAAAACATTTAAATCGGATGCACCACGCTCTCACAAAATCGATTTCTATTTTCTGCATTCTTTGCTTCGTATCTCCGAAACAGCTGGACTTGCCTTTGCCAAAAACGAATTAGCGCCTCTTCCCGTCCATACGAATCGAATGTTTTTTTTTAAATCGGTTTTTCTAAGATATGCCAGAATGTTCAAAACCTTTTCAAAACCTGTTCAAAAATTTTCATTTTAGATTTTTGGACGTTTACTATCATAGATAAAAAAGAGTATATGATTAATAATAATAATGAGTTTAAAATAAACAAGTTACAACTGTCAATATGTAGCACGGGAATTTACTTTTTTTATGTTGGTACGGTGTCATTGCAAATTCCTTGCACGATTTTGACATAACGTTGTCATGTGAAGGTTATGTACGTGCGTGTTAAACCGGTGTTTTATTTAACTCGAGTTTTTCGCTTCATAGTTCGGTGAAAGATTTTGTGCATGGACAGCTATATGTGATTAAAATGAACTTTAATATATCATATATTTTTATTGATACATGACATACTATACGGTGTTTTGAATAGTTAAATAACTTCGATCGAAGCAATGGTTAACATGAAGAGATCTAAGAAAGTGCCCCGGCGGCATTTCAAAAGACACTCCGTCGTCCCCTGCCAGAATGGTTGGACGACTTCGAATCCCTGGGTGGAGCAAGTTATTAATCCAGCTAATCGAAAACTCCCAAGCCGCAAACTGTTTACATTGAACAAAGATATATCTGATTTAAATAATATTAAAAAATTGCATGCTTCCTTAAGTTCACGTGGTATTTACTCTGCCGTTCCAACAGTAACCATTCGTCGCGAACCGTTTCATTTGGGTATTATAGAAAATTTTCTCTCCGATAAAAGCAGTTTGCAGTATTTATATAAAGACATACAAACCTTAAAATGGAATTCCAAAAAAATGGATCTATATGAATTGTCTCAATCACCTGATCTGTCCACAGTAACATCAAAATACTTGCATGGTTTTTTTAATTTTTTGCAGACTGATGTGCTTAAATGGATGAGCGATGTCACTGGTTTGAAATTTACGAAAGTATCTGCTACATGTTCCATGTATAATGCAACCAATTATTTGCTTCCTCATGATGACCTGTTGGAAGACAGGTTGATAGCCTTTATTTTTTACATTTGCCCATGGCGATTGTCATCTGACGATTATAATCAAAAAGTCTTGGAAGCTGGATGGAGCACGAAGATGGGTGGAAATTTAAAATTATTCACTGTTAACAAATATAAGGAACCAGTTTATCCGGCTATTGATAAAATTTGCCCGAAAAACAATCACTTTGTTTTTTTTAAGGTTTGCCCAGAATCTTATCATGAAGTTGAGGAAGTTTATACTGATGATTATTCCAGGTTATCAATAAATGGGTGGTTTCATGGACCTAGATTTAAAATTACTGAAGAGCTTGAAACTAATAAGGTGAGAAAGCACGAGACATTTTCATATGAGATCAAAAATGAGGTTTGTTTATTAGATGATTATATAAAAAGTGACTATTTAACTGAAACGTCTAAAAAAAAAATTAATACTCAAATTGAAGAAAATTCTGAGATAGGACTTGCTCAATTTTTTAATGAGAACGTCTATGATGACTTGTTAAACTCAATGATTTCAGTTATGAAATGGGAAAGAGTTGGCCCTGTTAATAAACGAAATTATGAGATATGCTTTGTAAACAAGTTATATAACTTATTTTATTCTGATTCTTTCATATCTTTATTGAAAGATTTTACGGATTTAGATTTGCCAGTTGGAGACAATGCCCTGAAAAAATCGTTAATAAATTTAGAAATTCAAAGATGGACTGCAGGATGTTATACTTTATTAAGTGACAAATCAGAATATGACTGTGATGAATTGGATGTTATAATGTATTTTAATTCTTCAGGAAAAACAGGTATTGGTGCTATAACTTATTTAGATCCAAATGAAGCAGAAGGCAATGAGCTACTAACAATATTTCCTAAAAATAATATGCTGAATATTGTATATAGAACTAGTGGAACAAATAGATTCACTAAGTATGTTAACCGTAAAATGATCGATCCCTCGAAGTATTTTTATATAGTAGTCTGTAGATATAGAGAATTACAGAATGTGTAATTATTATGTTTTGTTGTTACTTTGAACAGAAGTGAATATATTTTTAAAGTGCTGTTGTAAATATAGTTTTATTTAAAAAAGACATAGGATGAATTTTAAACTATTTTTTGGATTTTCGGATATTTTGCTCAACATACATATAATGTTATTATTTAAAATGAACCAATTTGATCAAAACTTATAAGTCTCCTAAGAGGTTGTGTTTATTTTTGTTACATTTTTATATAATGTATACATCCTGATGTAATAAACTAAACAAACTATAGTTGATTCACATCAAATTCTAAAGTAAGGCTATGTTGGGGTCTTTTTTACTTCTACACAAGGTGCTAAAGCTATAGTCTTTTTACTTTCATAACAATATAAAAATTTCATAAAAAACAAAAATTGTTTTAAACTACCAATTAATAATATTTATAACAGTGAGGAGCGAATACAATTTTTTATGAAAAAGATTGAAGACCTAAAAAATGATTATCTATTGGAAAAAAATCAATTAGTTCTCTTAGAATTATATCTTTTTTGTTTCATAAAGTTTTAGTAACAAATATTTGGAATAAATAAAGATTGATATCACTCGGCTATGCTATTGAAAGTACCAAATGCGCGACTTACTATTTGAATTTTCGATCAATTTTTATAAATAAACGTTTTTTTTTAGGCCTATAATACACAGTTTCAGAATGACTTGAAATTTTTTTTTGCCAGTGTTGGTGGAAAATCGAATGTTTTGCAGAAAAGCAAATTGGAGGTTTTGCAGAAAATGGGCCAATAATTTTTTTTAGATAGTGTTAACAGAGTGTAACGAAATTATTTTTTAATTCTTATTTTTTATCGTTATTTTTATCTTATAATTGGTGAAAAGTTAAATATTTTTACCTCCATTCAGGCCAACGACGATACCAAACCTACTGTAAGTTTTTGAACTTTTTTTTTATAATATTATTGTTGCTTTATGGTGAGGTAGATAAAATTCTCTTAATTTTGAAATTTGTTAGCAATTTGTTAATTATGTAGGTTTTCCCACTGGGTCGGTGGTAAGAACTTTGATCTTTCAACCAGGAGGCTCCACTTTCGATGCCCACCTTGGACCGCTGGATGTCAAGCAGTACTCATACAGGTTGCATTTTACTTGACAATAAAGATAGATATATAATTCTAAGTAAAAATAGCTCTTTCCCGGTTGGTTTATCAAGTTATAAATAACATCATAATTAGACAAATTGTAATAATGTATCAAATTTATACAGATACAGACATGGTGAAAAAGAATATTTATCACAATAGCTCATAGAAGTGTTAAGTTCTAATTGATGCTCAAAAAATATGTAAAATATTATGAGTTCCAGTGAAGTTTAGTTCAGATTTATTTATTAACTTTTCGTAGGGTAAGTTACAGCGAAATAGCGAAAAAATCGAAAATGAAAAATTTTGTATATCTTTTTGTAGATATAGAAAAATTGGATATATGTGTGTATAGTATGTATGTATGTTTGGATACAATTTTTTGTCCATAATTTTGATAATCTGATGGGTCAACCGATTTGAATGATTCAAAGAACATTTGATTCCTATTAATGGGTAGACGTGCTAATTACTATCCGAAGGAGAAGTTTGTTTTCATCAAAAAATCCGACTCGCCAATTTTATGCTTTCTCGACGTTCCAAGCCATTCTGAATCGAATGAGACCGAATTTGGAAAAAGTATGTGTTTGTGTGAGTATGAACAGATTTTTTGCCGTAAATCGACGTTTTCTCCAAAACGGCTGGACCGATTTCAAAAGTTTAAAAGCCATTTGATGTATCTCTGTGAGGACTAGCGTTTCTGAGTCCTTTGTGCGACGATCGGCCTGGCCGTTTCTCTGTAAATCGCAGAAATGTGAAAAAAAATTCGTCCACATTTTAGCCCACAATTCTGATTCGATTTTGAAAATTTAGAAACCGTTCGATTGGTTAGAAATCGTCCTGATTAGTTTTTGGTAAAGATCGGCCGGGCTGTTTTCTTGTAATAAAGTTAAAAAAAAAAATCGACGATCAGTCTTGTAGATCAGTGTGAAATATTACGGCCTAACGACAAGTCGTTTAATTTTAAAAATTCTTCAAAGTTTGCAAAAATTACTATCATTTTTTAGCATTTGTCAAAATTAGATCTTTGATCGACATTTTCTCAAAAACGCCTGAATCGATTTCAGAAATTTAAAAGCCATTTGATGTATCTCAATGAGGACTATCACAAAAAATGTTTCACTTTTCGTCCACATCTTAGCTCATAGTACCGAATCAATTTTAAATAATCAAAAACTGTTTGAAAGATATTAGTTGGGTATGATACAAGGCAAAATACCAATACCAACTAGTTAGATTTTGGCCAAGGCATACGGTGGAAAAAGTGCGAAAAATGGCAACACAGTTTTTGAGAGAACAGGGCGCCCGGTTTGCTTGATTGTGCATGGTGGTGCATGGCATCGTGCCTCAAGGCAAATTACTGGTACTTCCTGTACAATTTTTTTTGAAAAACTTTGAAAAAAAATTGAGGTTTTTGTAAATTTTGAAATTTCTGAAAGAAACTGACTTAAAAAATTTGATTTTTTTTAATATTTTGAATTTTTCTGAAATTTTTTTTCAATGCAGTTTTAGAGAAGAAATATCAATGCGCGTAAATGCCGGATCGCAGTCTAACGGATAAACATTACCCAGAACCCATAGAAATGTATACAATATTGGTACTTATTACTAAAATCTCTATAAAATATCTAATAATTTGATATGCATATGTCTAATGATATTTTTGTATCAGGATTTAACAAAGTTTAACCATTAAACGGCGTTGCGGCGTCTACGCGCTTAGAAATTCCGATTGCTTTGAAAAAAATGTCAAAATTTTCAAAAAAATTTAATATACAAAAAAATATTTTTTTTTTCAAAAAAGTCAAGTTCCAGCAACTTGCCTTAACTTCCGTAGGGTAAGTTACATTTATTTATTTATTTATTTATAGTTTTTGCACAAAATCAAAAATGAATTTTTTTCTTTACTTTTCAGAGTTTTCTGAACATGTTGGCATACCTTAGAAAAAATGTATGTATGTGTGTTAGTGTGTATATGTATTTCCATATTCAAAATTTCGTCGACGATTTCGCATCCACGAATCAACCGATTTAAATAATTTCAAAAAACATTTTATATTGGCGAAATGAAGAACAGGTAAAATTTTTGTGAATACAAGTCCATCGTCTACGGAGATCCAATAAAAAAGGTAAAAAAATAATGCCATTTGGCGGTCAAAAATGATCATTAGATATATGTACATTGTATTATCAGATATTTTATTAAGATTATAATAATAAATACTAATTTTGTACATTTATATGGGTTCCGTACCAATGTTTACACGTTAGACGACTACGTGGCGTTTACGCGCTTTGATATAACGGTTCTAAATCTATGTAGTACAATTGCTTCAAAAAGACTCAAAACTTAAAAAAAAAATACAAAAAAATCGAATTTTTTCAAAGTTTTCTTTTTAATTTGGTTTTCGGTACGGGAAGCTTCAATAATTTGCTTTAAATACTAGTTAAATAGTAACAAACGTTTTACTAGTTTATTTTGAAGCTTTTCCATTATGTCCTTTTAGGACAGAAGTTTAATATGAAGAGCATCATCTAAATCGCTACAATATAGTTGCTTGCGTGCACTTAATCGGATATCGGATTGTTAGGTCGATGTTGCTAAAAGACTACGACTATGAATTGATTCCCTAATATCATAATATTGAAATCAATTTCCATTTTTTTTTTGAGAGGTTACAGTACGGCAGTTCTCCCCAGGCAACGGCGAAAGGACGCCTTGTCCATGCGCAGTGGGTTTGTTTATACGCGTGCTTTCAGCTCTATTTATAACTCTAACCTAAGCAGGGAAAAAAGAACTATAATTTAATATTAAGTATTTGAAAAATCTTTTATATTTGCGATGTCTCTATCAAAATATGATTTGTGTATTTACTTTTCACATGTGAGCTTTTTCAATTCAGTGCTGTTCTAAAGTTTTGCGCAAAGCTGCGGATCTGTCGAACAGGTTTTCCAAGGTTTTCCAACATGGCCGACAGGGTGACAGATGGAAATACCGAAGAAGACTGGCGGATATTCGATTTGTTATGCAAAGACGTGAGTAATTATGTCGTAAACATTGAAACGTGTTTGCTGAATGTCATTCAATGTAGTATTTTGACATTATTTTGATGCAAACATGAACTATTGAAAACAACACTAAACTATGTTATTTTACGGAATAGAACTGATTAGTTTCCGTATCAAATGTGCAAAAAAAGTGTCAACTTAATTCTCTTCGATTTTGTGAAACAATTAGCAGTGATTCATCATGGTATGTCACAGTTTTATTAAATACTCATTTTTAATACTTGATTTATGATATAACTTTATTTCTAAGGTGTTAGTATTATGTCAATATACTTGTTTGCTGCGTGACCTAATTTTAGAAGCAATGCAATTGCGTGTAAAATTATATTGTTTTGCTCCGAATTGCAATACGTTGCTTAAATTGTTAATGTTTTAAAATAATTGATAAAACTTAAATACACAACAAATATCTAAAACAAAATTAATCAAACAATCTTAATACTGCTGATAGTGGATATATTGCATTCGTATATCAAAGCTCACTACATAGAAAGCTCAACTTTCTCATACAAATACAAAGCGTCTAAAAATAAATTTTGATAATGATCTTTTCGCTGAATTGAAATAGACAATATTTATTTTTACATCATAAAAATATTGCGATTATTTTGTGTATACAAACAATCTGTTAGAACTATGTGTCAAAGAACCTTGACAAAAAGTAATTAAATACAATTCTAACAAATCTTATTCAATTAACTCATTAGCGGTTTAATGTTTTTGAATATTGCTTGATCGGATAATTATAGTCTATTTGTAAATATCAATATTTTTCCAATTTAAATTGTTTTTTTCTGAAGTGCTTTTATGGGTTTCTTAGATAAAACACTCTTGTAAAATTAAAAATAACAAGAAAAAAATGATGCTAAGGCAGTATTTTCCATTCATTTAAATTTTTATATTTTAAATTATTTCTATATTTTTTTTTGCTTTTATTCATACATTTTAAAAATTGTTTTGGTATCCAAAGTAAATAAATATGTATAGCGTTTTGTCCAGCATTTTTTATTACCTCGAAGAAGTTTGTTTTTGGTAGAAAATCTCATTTGCTTAATTTATTTTCTTGAGGTTTTAAGTCATTCTGAATCGTTTGGCGCCAAAAAATAGAACTAGCTGTAAGTGGAATTCTGTCTTAAGGCAATTAAGGCATCGTGCCTTAAGGCAAATTGCTGAAACTTCCCGTACCAAAAAATATTCTTTTTTTAAAAACGATTAACATTTTTGAAACAATTTTCGAAAAAATAAGATTTGTGAGAAACTATAAATTCGACAAAAAATTACTTTTTTTTGAAAAAAAAAAAATTAAAAAAATTTTTTTTTTTCTTTTAATTTTTTTTTTTAAAAACAAAATGTTTTCTTTATTTTGACATATTTTGCAAGATCTAAACTTTTTTTCAAAGCAATCGTACTGCTTTAACTGCATAAAGAAGAAATATCAAAGCGCGTAAGCGCCGCGTCGCCGTCTAACGCGTAAACATTGGTACGGAACCTATAGGAATGTAAACCAAATTTATACTTATTGTTAACTCTATAAAATATCTGATAATTTGATGTGCATATGTCTAATGATCATTTTTGACCGCCAAATGGCATTTTTTTTTTACTTTTTTTATTAGATTTCCGAAACCGGTAGACCTGCCTTTATGAAAATTTCATCGGTTGTTCACCTTGTCAATACAAGTAAAATGTTTTTTGAATTAACAAAATCGGACGCTCCGTTCTCTTAAAAACTGAGTTACCGTTTTCGGCACTTTTTGCCCCGTATCTTCGGAACGGCTAGACCGGCTAATCAGCACGTCTCCTTATTAATACGAATCGAATGCTGTTTGAATTATTCAAATCGGTTGATCTGTGTTCCCGAAATCGTCGACGAAAATTTGTATCCGCACATACATACACACACGCACACACACACACACATACACACACACACACACACATGCATCCATTTTTTCTAAGGTATGCCAAAATATTCAGAAACCTTTGAAACGTCGAGAAATGCAAAAATTTTCATTTTCGAATTTTTTGCGATTACTATAACTTGCCCTACGGGAAGTTAAAAAGTGTGTGTGAGCAGATGTAGAAATTGTATGACATTTGTATGAAAGAAAAAATTTTCAAAAAAATTCAAAGATTCAAAAAATTCCAATTTTCGAATTTTTTTATTATTTTCTGAAAAAAGCTTAATTTTGAAAATTTTCAATAAATATCATAATTAAAAAAATCGATTTCTTACAAAAATTTGGAGATATTTCAAAATTTTCAAACAAAAACGAATATTTTCAAATAATTATCCAAATTCTCAAGAAATTTAATAAAAAGTTTTTTTAAAAAAAAATTTAAAAAATTTCAAACTTCTAAAAAAATTTCAAAAATTTGAAAAAAAATCTAAATTATCAAAAAATCAAATTTAAAAAAAATGAACAAATTTCTTATATATACAAAGTTGTTTGTAGAATACGCTCGTCGCCCAATTTAATAGCCACTTATAAGTTTACAGTATGTACTTATTATAAATGATCTATTTGAAATTATTCAAAAGAATTATTGATTATTTTCATTTCTCGAGTGTTTAATTACAGTACGGCAAGTTCCAGCAATTTGCCTCAAGGCGCGATGCCATGCGCTTCACTAGTTAACTTCCCATAGTAGGGCAAGTTATAGTAATCGCAAAACAATCGAAAATGAAACTTTTTATACCTATATCTTTACGTTTCAAAGGTTTCTCAATATTTTGGCATACCTTAGAAAAAATGGATGTATGTGTGTTTGTATGTATGTGTGTGCGTGTGTGTGTGCGGATACAAATTTTCGTCGACGATTTCGGGAACACCGATTAACCGATTTGAATAATTCAAAAAACATTCGATTTGTATTGATAAGGAGACGTGCTGATTAGTTTTTGACAAAGGCAGGTCTAGCCGTTCCGAAGATACGGGGCGAAAAGTGCCAAAAATGGTACCTCAGTTTTTAAGAGAACGGAGCCTCCGATTTTAATAATTCAAAAAACATTTTACTTGTATTGACAAGATGAAGAATTTATCAAATTTTCATGAAGGCGGTTTTGGAGATCTAATGAAAAAGTAAAAATAAAATGCCATTTGGCGGTCAAAAATGATCATTAGACATATGCACATAAAATTATCAGATATTTTATAGAGATTTTAACAATAAGTATAAATTTTTGTCAAATTTATAGTTTCTTAAAAATCTAGTTTCTTCGAAGTAAATTTTTTGCAAAAATTTTAATCGTTTTTAAAAAAATAATAATTGTTGGTACGGGAAGTTCCAGCAATTTGCTTTAAGGCACGATTCCATGCGCCCCACTAGTTTTTCAAATAAATAAGCACTCTGCTTAAAACATAAAAACTACTCAAGAAGTTCAAAGTATAAAATATAAATACTTAAATCTTTTATAGAATCATTGTGCCTTAAGGTAAAATTGCATCGAAGCTCAGAATACATCCCCTGCGGTATTAGTATTACTAGGCGATCTCGCGAACTTTATTTTTGTGTTACGGTAGTATTTCATAAACGCTAGTCATGCAACCGAGCGGAGTAACCGATTCGAGCTTGCAAGCGAACGAGCTTTCGGATCATCCGGATATTTATATAAGTTTTCCATACAATCCTAGTAAGAATCCTAAACGCTTTTGCGCAAATCATGTCTCTAAATGTATCGGTTGTAGATATATTGTAATCCGGATATAGTATTGGAATTGTTGTGCTCATGTAAATTATTGGTTTTCCGTACATTCACTCTGTTTTATTTTCATTTCATCTAAAGTGGTGAGGTTGCAGAATTATAATTGGTGGAAAACTATGTTTTGAGTGTTTACATGTATATACCAGTATTGTGAACGAACTTGTTGTTATTACACTATTTTATTCGACAATATTTTAAAATAGATGAAAATGACATATAACGTATATATGAATAATTAAGTGAGATAATTATCTCTAAGTGAGACAAAAAAAAAGAATTAGAAACTTAGTGAAAGTTCTCGAATGCAAATACAAGTCAAGATATAAGACTTTTCAATTGCTTAATAAAAATTACTTAAGGTATTTATAGTATGTAATTGTTTTAACAAACAATAATTTTGTTGCTACGTATTAACTATATTTTGATTGAAAAATATATATGAATAAATCTTGCGCGGCATAATATCATTCAAAGATTGTCTAGAACTTCAAAAACTAAACTTGCCTCAAATAGTTTTTTATGTGCTCTTAAAAAAATAATAATACTACTGAATATTACAGTACAATATTACAGATGACATTAAATTGGACACCGAAACATATAGATAGTAAAAATGTTTTAAAGTCGATTTTAAAGAAAGAAGGAGATTGTATAGATCTACTTGATATTGTGCTCTCCACGAATTTATCCAAATTCAAACTCATCGATTTTATTATAAAAGTTGGCCTATTTTCTTAAATTGATAATTTTTTCTTAAACTTCATAATAAATTATCAAATTATTTCAACCGAAATTATTTCATTTTGTGTTATACTACGTCTAAAAAATAAGGTGATCTAAACACAACCTTAAAAATATAGCAACATAACCTGATTTAATAAAAAATATCAATGTATTTATATATGTATATCATTGTATTTATAGTCTTATTTACATCATTGGATGAGTTTGAATGCAATGGGAATTTTTATTTTTGTCACTTTTAATATCATTTGATAGAATGCGCTATATTACAAAAAAAAAAATTATAACATTTTCTTTTATACTACGTCTAAAAAATAAGGTGATAAATTATCTGACAAATTAACGACCATATAAAATCTTTGAAAAAAGTAGATCATCAATAAAGTTCAATTATTTTGGATGTTGTTTGAGTGGTCTTATAATATATTTGATAGATAGAAAGAATCTGAACACATGAAAAATACAAGCAAAGAATTATATATACAGAAAGTAAGATTTAAAAAAATTTCGTGCATTACTAAACAAAACGATAAACCAACCTACTGACGAAAACTTATTAATTTTCTAAGTCTTACATTGCAATAATACAATAATTAGCACGACGAAAATAAAATGGCGCGATAAAAAGATATAATTTATTTCATTCAATTTTGTTTACAATTTGTGTTATGATACAAACTTTAAAGTAACTAAAAAAAGGATAACTTAAAAAAAAAACAATTAATTGATCGCGAAACAAAAAAATAAAATATAATGTTAATTAATAATTAACTATTATTAGTTAATTAATAATAATTATATATATAACAATCAAACTTAAAAAAATCAAATTTATTAAAAAATTAAAAGTAATGTAATACAAAACAAATTGAATTAATTGTAATTTCATACGTAAATATATATTGATTCAATTTTTATTGCTTTGCTTATTAGTAGTACAAGAGAATAAATAGAATTTGACTCTATTATTAATATGTTATTAATCATAAATTTATAGTAAATTCAAATAATAGATTAAAGTACCATAAACAAAATCCCTTCGGCGATACTTTTGATCTCACATGTGCGTTCAAACAATTTTGATTGATTTTCAAATTCGTTGTGGCGAATTGATTGACAGAATATGTGCAATAAATAACTTTTATCCTCTGATTTGTATGACCTAGATAACCACGGTAACCTGGTATTTTGTTTGTCAATCTATTTTTGTATTCAGCAAGCCCTTGGAGAGGAACGGGAATCGCACCACTGTCCCGTGGAAGAGGAGGTCACTTTGTTAAGGGAGGAACTCGCGGGCGCAGAGTACAACAGGGACCGACTACAAAACGAGGTATTTTTGAGTAGATCTTAAAAGCACTTTGTAATATATTTTAGATTATTATTGGCAAAATAATCGGCGATTTTTAAATGCTTTAATTCATGCCATCATATTGTTGATATTTCAATTTAAAATTACGACCAGCCAAAAGCACTACGTCTAACATTTTTATAGCATATGAAATTATTCAATCATATATATATTGTACTATTAAAAGCAAACCATCTACATAATCTACAATAATTACAACATTACAACAAATAATACACATTAAACAAGCTATACTTGTAAGGGATCGTTCAAGTATTACGTAAGCAGATTTATCACAATTATTTACCCCCATCACCCTCCCCTTTGTCAGCAAAAGTAAGCAAAATTTCTTACCCAAAATAAGAAAAATAAGCAATTCAATAACTCCCCGCCCACCTATAGTGCTTACGTATAGTTACCTTAATACTTGTTCGGCCCCTAAAGTACAGTAATATTTCACGCTAATTCGTCATTGTTGAAATATGTTTTTTGCTATTTTTTAAATATTTGTCATCTGGTCTTTTCTACCACACAGGCGAGGTAAAAAGTGCCAGCCAAGGGATAAAAAGGTTAATCATTTTATTTTTATTTTTATCCTTTACACTCGCGAATTGCGGAATTTACATGTATTTTGCCGTCAGAGCGGCGTCATCCGAATTGAAAGGGTTATAGTAGTTTTATGGAATAATAGCTGTATTATTTATACAATGGGATGCGTGAAGCAGGGAGAAAATTAAAAATTATAATCTAAATAAAGGTTTAGGTGGTCCTTCTTAACCTAACCACTTGTTAGCCATTCTACGGTTTTTATAAAATAAACTATTAAATCTATCTTAAAAATAACAATTTACTAAAATAACGTATTCTTAGAAATTATATTCAGATATCGTACTCTGAACAACAGTGCTCTAAATAAAAAAAAACTATCAAGGAAAAAATACTTCAAAATGTGCTAAAAATTTGTCAATGTGGCCGTTTATCTCTTGATACCGATGTCGCTTGATTGTGGGCAATGGCTGGTTAACACCTTATTTGCAATCGACTTTAAAAAGTACCACATTTTTTTCTTTTTTGAAATGATAGTAGTAGACCTACTTTACCCGCAGACCTTCATGCCCTGCTTTACTCTATATACACTATATATAAAGTATTAAATATGCTCAATTTTGTTTGTTGAAATATTGGTAGAAATATTCAATTGGAAAAAAATATGTTTTTCATGATACGTTTTGCATCATACAAAATCAAATTGATTTTGTATCATGGTGCATTTACAAAAAATGAATTTAAATACAATGTAAGATATACTAATACGGGTCAAATATTTAGCAATAGCAAAAATAAATTTTTAATAATACTTTATTATATAAAAAATCATATAGCGTAATACCCATTCAAAACGTCTCTGTTTATTTCAAACATGTAAAAATTAGTACCATAATAATTCTTATTATTTTTAAATGTAATTGATTTTATATATATTTAATACATTCTAATTAAGTCTAAGTTTTTACTGGCATTAGGATTCGCTTTTATATATGCCTTATAATTTATGTCATATGTTAATTTAAATAACTGCAATAACTTATAATTACTACGCATTTTTATGAGATTTCACTCATATTGTGCATTAGTTAACAGAAATGAGAGGAAATATGTGTGCGCGCGAACAGCGCATGACGGAGTTGCAACTAGAGTTGGATCGACTCCGGGAGCAGAGCTGCAGGCAAAGTGCCGCCCTCAGCTCCACCAGACAAAGGCTTCAAGATGCTGAAGCCAGGGAGAGGGCTCTTCAAGTAGGTTAAATATAACGAAAAAAATATTTGTTACGGCAATACCTGAAGTTAAATTTGCCAAGTTTTTTATGCCACGAAGTTCAAAACATTTTTCAAACTTATTATTTTTTATATTTTTCACCAATTATTTTTATTTATTCATTTGAAGCATTCTAATGTTTTCGTCTAATCATAATCTATACAATTTTGTCTAATCAATAATACAATTAAAATAAAACATATTTTGATAAATTGCTTTTTTCACTTGATTTTTCAATCATCTCGTCTACTTATGAGTATGACACGATGCTTTGAAGCTTCTATTCTAGTAATTGATTATTATTTTCATATGACTATATTCTATAAAATTTGCAACTCAAATTTACGTATAAATTTTTCAAAATTTGAACGAAAGACCTTATACTGTAGAATAAGGTCTATGTTTTGAACTCGAAAGACCTTGTCATCAATTTGATCAGTTACATTTGAATATCACCGAAGAAAATTGTTTAGAAGTTTAATCAATTAATTATTTTTGATTTATAAAATTGTTATGATGGAACAATTATTATAATTTTCAATGATTAATATTATTCGATGATTTATGCAATTTAAAAAGAATTAGAAGAAATTATTTATAACTTATTAACATAAAATTCTTATAGAATCTTCATATAATAACTAGCAAACCCGACGAACTCCGTTTCGTCACCAGATGGTTTCCTGAGAAAGATGAAGAAATTTTTTGTTTGTTTTATATTTGAAAAGGAAACATTCGATTTTATTACACAACAGTAATGAATTTATTTCGATTACAAAAATGAAGTGATTGTTAGTTGAACTTCTCTAAGTAAAGGAAAGTGAATCCGCGTATTATCCGTTACATTGAAGTGCTCTTTGGTAAACCACATTTTTTGTTTTGTGGTCTGACGTTAACACAAACAAAGCGGATGGTTTCCCAACTCGTAAACAGGCAACGTATAACTGCCCATGTGAAAAACAATGAATTTCTGAATAATCTATTTGAAATCGCAATTTTGAAACCGCAAACACTAAGCGATTGGCCTTGCGGCTTGTTAATTGTCATTGCGAACGCAAGGCGAACTGGAAATTGCTATCGTTTGAAGTCAAACGGAAGACCAGTCGGAATCATTGGTATGTCACCAAATCGCCAACAATTTTTGATCGAATGGTGAAATTCAGTGCGTGTACATCATTATTGTTTGCGGCAAGAATTGCTCGTTGACTTAACCAAGCATAATTGTGGTAATTCTCACTAATGTCATTACTCGAATTTTTAATTACGGTGCGTGAAGTTCGAGCAATTTGCATTAAGGCACGATACCATGCACCACTAATGTTCTTAGCTATAAACCTTGCGGGGCCCAAGACCTTTCCAACGAATGCAAAATTGTCGAAATCGGTTCGTGTGTTCTGGAGTTATTTCGTCAGGAAGTAAAACGCGACTTATTTTTATATATATGTAGATAATAAATCATCAGGCGGGGAATAAATTGTATTGTCCTGCATGGAAAACAATCTTCATTAACACAAAAATTTCCAAAAGAGAATTCAAGTAAAATTTGATAATTATAATGTTAAGTATTTTTAGATGTATTATGTTTTGATTTCTATCTATATTATTCTAACAGGTTAGATCGGAAATGGCACAACAAACCTTGCAAAGAGAGCTACGCCAGCTGGAAGATCGAGTGCGCTGTCTGGAGAAACGAAATAGATGTTTAGAAAACCAATTGACTGAAGAAGAGCGCTGCAGGGACTGTACGAAATTGCAGAATGATGATTTTGTAAGCATTTTCGAATTAAATTGAATATAATTAATTCACATATTGCTGTTAATAAAATTAATTTATTATAAATATTTTTCAGATGCGTCGACTAGCGATGGCACTAGATATAGATGAACGATGTGACACTGCAACTCCAGATGCGTTACTTCAGAAAGCGGGTGATGTAGTTCAAGAGTTATCGCGATTGAAGTGCAAGGTAATTGCAAGAATATATAAAAAAGAGTTTTTATTTGATACTTAATAATGGTATGTAATGTCTACCAAAAATTTTTAGCACAATCGAAGATTTTATATTTGGCAAAATGGTCGAAAAAAATCGAATCATATCTTATTGTAATTATTATTAAGATTATTCGTCCGTTTATGGACTTGTAAGTACTAAAACTCGGAATGACATAAAACTCTATATGGAACAATTTAGTATACTTTTTCTTTTCGATCTGAGGTTTATAAATAGGTTTATCTATTTATTTCGATGATGTTACAATGATATGTTCATTGTAATCGTTGTAATATCTTAATCATGATTATCACTTTAAGTAAGGTGACCATACGTCCCGGTTTGGTCGCGACAATCTCGAATTTTCGCCTTGTGTCCCGGGTTTTTCTCAAAGCAATATTTATCCAGGAATTTTATCTTTTGTCCCGGATTGTCCCGGATTTCCGAAAAGTACTTGATGATAAAATTACAACTGCCCATAAAATATCTGAAAAAGATATATACGAGTACGCTTATATACAACAATACTTTATGAATGAGAAATTTTCTTAATAGAAAATTCCAAAGGCGGGTTAAAATAGCCTCTTACATTAATATAGTTACATAATTTCGAACATCACATTACATATAAATAGTTTCAAACTTTAATTTACAATTTTAATAGCAAAAAAATATATAGATCGAAAAATATAAGATGTAGCATATAATTCAATAATAAAGTTTAACTAAAAGTCAGTTATTAAAATAAAAAACCATTGATTTATTTAAAATAACTGATTTCTATTGTAGTTAGTAAATAGTAGTTAATCATATTTAAGATTTTCAGCATGAAGCGCCCTTCTCCCCGGTCCTGGATAAGCATAACTTAATGTTGACGTCTCGGTTTTGATGAAAAAATATAGTCACATAACTTTAAGTGGTGTGGTAAACTTGATGCCCATTTTATAGCTTCCAATTTCTTTATTTTTTCATACTACATTCGGCTCTAGTTAACAATAATTCATACTATGTGCGTTTAATTTTTAAATTTTCGTGTATGTAGTCCAGTCATTATAGTAACTTCACCGCGGAATTTGAGGTACCCAGCTGTAAGTTTGTGAAATAGCTGAAATAGCATCCTAAAACTGCCTCAAACCTACATATGGTAAGGTGTACGTCCCATCATATGTAGGTTTTGAGACAACTTTTAGGGTGCTATTTTAGGGTATTTACAGACTTACAGCTGGGTATCTCAAATTCCGAGATTTTCACCTAATTTAAGCTTAAATGACTGGATTAATACGAAATATATAGAAGAGCAATATAGTTTGTGTTCTAACTATTCAAAATTATCTCTAAATTGAAAGATATGATACGTAGATATTCTCAACTGCGTATAGACATTATTAAATATGTATCGTTTCACATAAAAAAACTGCAGTGGCATTGCATATTTCAGTATAACAGTACTGCTGATGCTCTCGCGACGTGCGAAGCCGATGCACGTGCCATGCGAGATGGTCTTCAGCGGGCTGCTGCGGAGCGCGAGGGTCTGGTCAGGCAGAACGGATGCAGGGAAATAGAGGCGACCAGGCTCAGGGAATCGCTCGATGCCAAAATACACGAACTGCAAGCATCGAAGGAACGATTGAACGACAGCGAAGCACATGCTGAAACACTTAGAAGTGAGTGTATAAAATTACACATATTTGCGTTGAAATCTATTTTTTTTATTTTTTTTATTTTACTTGCTTTACGAAATGTGATGTATAAACATATACATATATTCATGGGGGGCAAACATAGAACAAATGACCTTTTTATCGTATTAGTATTCCGCTCCTGCGAAAGAGGGTTTTACTGTTCCCAAATTCAAAACTAACGTCGTTTTTCGGCCAACGCGTACATCAAACTCGCAGGACTATTGACGGTGCTCCTCGATAACGAACGAATACTTTAGGAAAACAAAAGAATTAATAATAATTTTCAATATGGCGAAGTGTCACGTACCACACTGTCAAAAAAGTGTTGAATTAAATACAGTTCGTAAAGATAAAAAATTCTAGCAGGGTACTAACAAAAGCCGAATGGGTTAAGAAACTGGGCTGTAAAGCTATAGATGATTTGAGGCACGTTTGAAACAAAAAGAAACAAAGAGAAAGTGATTCCAGAATTTTATTATTTACTAGCCGGCCCGACAGACTTCGTCCTGTCAAAAAAAATTGTAATGTGGCGGTGTTTTGGGCCTACCTTTTTTCTATTCTTTGCAAAAAATTATCCTGAACAGAACCGTCACCCTGGTAATAATTCGGTGTGAATTAAAAATAATTAAATAAAACACTATAATCATTTAAAAGTAAGTAATTTTAATAATGAAAATCATAATTCAAAAATCAGTTCAATTTTCATTGTAGTGCTTTGTGATAAACGATGTTTTTTGTTTGATTACCTGGCGCATAGACAAACAAATCTGATGGTTTTCCAATACGGAAACAAACAACATACAATTTTCCATGTGAGAAACATGGGTTTTCTAAATTAATACCACAAACACTTAATGATACCATAAACGCACTGGAAACGCATTGGGATGCATGGTGCGAGAAGAACCTCTGCTTTATACTATCATTTGAATATAGTTGGTCGATATTTCGCAACATTCTAATTGCCGATCCAACATTTAATTGAAGATTGTGAGGTGACAATCCTAGCAAATCCAGCGATTTTCAAAACTCCGGTGGATCGTCTTGGTTAGTTGCCGAATCAACTGATTCGCCTGTAATTTTTTTAATTAATTTACATCAATGTTTTTGGCTACCAATATAGCTTGATTAATAGAAAGATATTTCTATGTTTATATAAATATATTCAAAATTAGATTATCAAAAACTACACAAAATGTCATGACATAGATCATTGTTTTTTTTACAAATTGCGTTGCCTACTCGATTAAAGAAGCAAAGGGCTGTTTTTAGGGTTTTCCCGGCAATTATTAGTTTTTTTCTCGCCGTAACAACCATCCTTGGACTTCAACGAACATTTTAAAAAAAGAATTGGCCAAATTGGTCCAGGCGTTGTTGAGTTATGCGCTTACCAACACATTTTGCGATCCATTTTTATATATAAGATATAGCACAAATTTTAATCAAGATCCATTGCAGATTTTTTGGAAGAATAAGGGTCGGAGATGTTCAATTTTCTGAATTCTTTATATTGTTTGTTGTTAATAACTGGTGCAATACTGTGAAACGATTTTTCTCAGGAAAATATATAAATGAAAATGAACAGGACCCCATGAAAAAGTAGCTCTCGAAAAGTACGAGAAAAGTCTCAAGGCCAATAAAACTCGACTGAGGCAGAAAAAACCCGTACATTTTTCTGCGAATGTTAGAAAATCTTGTCTATTTATTAATAATTGTATTTTATTTAAATTATGTAAATATCTTGTATTGATATATTTTATTATTTATATTTAATTATTGCTTAAATATTAATTTTATTTTATTTTTAAAAATGTTAACAAAAAAAGACATTTTTCTAATTTTATTTACTCATCTTAATTTTAAACTAGTGGTGTATGGCACCGTGCTTTGGCACGGCTGGAACTTCCCGCACCCTAATGAAATATTCGAGAAATATTAAAAGTTTTCAAATAGATTATTATAATTATTTGAAGAAGAACTTTAGCTAGAATTAGAATTAAAATGCGAATTATTTTTTGATATTCAAAATATTTTTTTAAGGAAAAAATAAAATAAAAAAATTTTTTTTTACCCTAAAGCAATCGTTTCGTCAACACAAGCGGAAAGTTTTTTTAATCATTTAAATTGGATGCTTAGTTCACTCAAAAACTGCACATTTAGTTCGACCTGCCTTTGCCAAAATCTAATAACCATTTTTCTCCATCATTACGAATCGAATGTTTTTTGGATCGTTCAAATTGGTTGATCCGTTCTCTTAAAAACTGACATTTTTACACTTTTTGCTCTATATCTTCGTAGTCGGTGGGCGTGCCTTTGCCAAAAAGTAATCAGCACATCTCCCTGTCAATAGGAGTCGATTGTTTTTTTAAATTTTTAAATCAGTTCATCCATACGCCTGAAATCGTCGACAAAAAATTGTCTCCACACATACACACACACATACATACATACACAGATACGCACACATACACGCGCATCATTTTTTTCTGAGGTATGCCAAAATGTTCAGAAACCTCTGAAACGTGAAGATATGTAAAAATTTTCATTTTCGATTTTTGACCCATTACTAATAAGTCGCCATATGGAAAGTTAATATATGTGATATATTTTTATTAATTCATTTTGAATGAAAAAAAGGCCCTCATTTTATGAATAAATTTTATTAATAAATGGGCGAGATAAATTCATGATTGAGAATACTGTTTTATTTGTAGGTCTTATAATTCTATATTGTGTCTTGAGTGTTTGGAAAAAAAATAGCAAAAAATGCTGCAATTAGCACAATAAATATTCTTTTCAGCTGATCTTCAAACAGTGGAAGAACGACTAAGTCGTCTCCAAGTCGAACACCAAAGTCTACTTCAATGCATTTGGCAGGGATTGGGAGGTCGCGGCGAGTGGAAAGAATGCGCTATCAAGGATCGAATACGTGAAATTATGACACAAAATCAAGAGCTGACAATGGTTAGTAAAGTACAAACAAAGGCCATTCTGGAAGACATAATAAATAAGTGACAGTGAAATTTAAATTAAATAAATAGAACATTGCCTTGATTATGGAGTCTCAGTCGATATGATTACTTGGCTATGTCTTTTTGATTGATGGCTTTACCAGGCAATGCTGATATTGTTGGATTTGTGTCAAATTGTATGTCTTGTCCTAGTCTTATCCATTCCATGCAACTATTAATTCATGCCATTTAATATAATATTATCAATATTTAAATAATAACTTTATTTTATTCATTAACTAGCAAGCAGAATCTTGTCGCGAAAAATTATCAATGGAGCATTCTCGTGCTTGTGATCTGCAGGAAAATGCAGCATGCAGGGAGCGCGCTCACGAGGCAAAAGTTATTCAATTGCAGGGAGAAATTGATTTACTCCGAAGGGAACATGTCACGGTAAAAAGTTATAAGATTTTAATTATCATGCAGAACATTTCTAGATCGTAGTATTTATCGTTTTGCGTTTTTCTTCGTGTTTTGCATGTCGCATACCCAATATAGACAACTTTTTTTTGTGGACCTGTGCAATTAATAAATTCATCTACTATACGTTTTATATTTACAAAAGCTCTTAGCTTAATGTTTGTGAATATCTTTATTCTTTGGTATTCAACCGCGAAATGCTAGATCATTATATATCATTCACTTAAAGCCACCATTAGTAATATTAAAATAACTTTATATTTTTCATGTACTATGCTTAATTAGGTTAATAACTCATAAAAACTAATAATATTTGATATGAAATGAAGTTAAGAAGATAAGAATGGTTGCACCATTTTTTTATATCAATGCCACCATTTTATTTGACAAATTTAGCGCAGCAGACGAAATAGGCTTGTAAATATATCAGTTTATACATGTAATTGTAATTAACAATAATTTGCTATGTATTTGCTAGTCTGTAATATTACAAAGATAATGAATGATATCACAAATAGGCATTATTAGAATGATTTTACAATATTTTTATTTTGAATTTCGAATATTATTAACTAAACATCTCTTATTTAATCTTATTCAGTTGCTTCATCTGAATTATTTTATCAAGTTGCAACATTTAAAATATTTTACCACAATTTCAGTTGCACAGCTACTTGCAGCGGTTGTCAATCTCGCTGGCGTACGCTGCTCCACCGCGGGTCGAAGAAAATGCACCGTGTTTGTCCGAACAACTTCTGCAAAGAGCTGAACATCTGGTCCGTGTTGAAGCTGAAAAGCATTGTTGCGATAAGGTAATTTTGATATATTGATAATTATTTTATATAACAGTTCTATATAATCTAGAAAATTTTGCTTATAAATACGACTATATGAGGGAGGAGATAGTAATAAATAACTAATAATAATTATTTGAAATTATGGTAATTTAGTATATGACGTAGTGAAAATGCCAATAAAAGCTTACCCAAGTTCAATATTTTCAATAGACATGCGATGAAAATTTGTGCCTCAATAAAAATTTTGGGTTTTCATTATTTTTTTCTTACGCACTTTGGTGCAAAAACTTGCAATATTTCAAGTCTTTTGCGGTATTTAGCGAGATAATTGCCATAAGAAAAGTATGTTAATATGTTACAAAGTCTACGCATCGTTTTAAAGAGGCGTATTCTGCAAAAATCGTATTAAGCATGATTCTCTAAACTGAATTCTTTAGTATTTTCAATACTCTTCCAAAATTATTCTGCTTTTGTACTTCGTTCATATGAAAGTTAATCCTATTGTTACGAGTGTCGCCTATAGTCTATATCTACATGGCTCCCTGTGTGTACGAATGTCGCCTTTACACGATATCCGCAATTTATTTATTTTATATAATATAGATATACGCATTATTGTCATTTCATATGTAATAAATATTCAACCGGAAATGATTGCATTTGATTAAAAATTTTATTGAAATTGTTATCAAATTTTCAACATTGGAGGAGGTGCTTGTTTTCAGATTTTTGATGTTTAAAAAATTTTGATATCATTCACTAGCATCGTTTGAATAAATCTAAATACTTCTTGTTTGTTATCAAAACATTATTGTAAAATACTATTTATGTGTATTTATTTTAATTATTCCAAATAATAAATGATTTTATACCATCTGAATAGTTTTAAAATGACGAAATATAAGACTTTGACTACAGAAAAAATGAAAATATTTATAGTGGCGGTATATAAAAATATTTGTATACATTTTTACAATTTACAAACAACAATAATTTTGAAACAGCTACATAATTGTGTATAACCTACGTTACTATTATATTATGGCTTTTGGAATTTGTTTATAGGATGCTAAATTTTATTTGCGACTTCGTTTAACTATTTAAATTTTCATTTATATAAATAAAATATTAATGTTACTTAGATTCTATGTTGTGACTTACCCTGCAATGCGCCGCGCCTCAGGAGAGAACGCTCGTGTCATGATATACCTTTGAAGGAGGTAATGTAACGTCTCGGAATGCATTCATAATTTATTTGCACTGTGCACACTTTTATATACACACATATATTTATACATATATGTATATATATATATATATATACATATATATTCAGAAGCTGTATTTTTGCTTCAACTGTAAAGCAAAAATTCCATCAAAATCACACAATTAATCTTACTAACAAGGACAACCTAAGGTTTCCTCTTCTAGGACTTTAATTGAACTTTGCAAAATGATAAAATGAATAGTTAAAATGAAACCCTTGAAATATTATAGGACTATAAAAGTGGTTGCATAATAAAAAATAATTTATTTGTAAGAAAAATGTTTTGTTTATGCTAAGGAAATTTATTTGTAGCTTGACAGCATTTTGCTTAAATTGATTGCATAGTATTGCATATAAATAATAAAATATTCTTAAATAACGAAATCAGAAATATTTTAGAAGTTTATCTTTTCATAAAGAGTTTAATACCATGTTGTTTATCTATTCATTTACAAATATTATACATATTCATTTTATAAAAATTCTTTTATTTTGCAGACGACAGTAGTTAATAATTTGCAGAAACGAATAAGAATATTGAAGGATCAACTGCAAAGAAAAGAGCTACATGTAGATCTTCTGAAGAAAAAGCTTCAACTACAAGAGGAAAATCATCGTAGCAGATGTTTATTACAAGTAAGCAAAAATTAAGAATTGAATATGAATATAAGACGTAAAAATGTGACAGTCTTTATTTTTTATTTTTATTATCTCTTAATTTATTATATTATATATTTTTCAAATGTTTGATAAAATATTTCTTTGAATCTTGTAGACAAAATCTTATACTCTCCTGTCAAAGTGATTGCAAACATTAGGAGTAAAAAATGATATAAATCTGCCAAAGATTACTTTAGTTTATTCTGAAAAGTTCGAATTTAATACTTAATTATTTTAAGGCATATATAAAATTATATTATAAGTAAAATAAATTACGCCTAAATTTTTGTATTAAGTTTAAATTTCATTTAATGGGATTAATGAACAGCATTTTACTTACTAATAATAATGTTACTAACGCGTGATAATTATTATTGATAATATAGTTGACAACACCATAATTAGAAACTAAATATTGAGATCCACATAACTAATAAATTTTTGCCATAATAATATTTATGTTATAACAGTTTGAAGTATTTTAGTATAGTCGCTTTTCTATACTCTGCACAATTTACCTTTTTTCATTTGTTAAATATATGTTCATATCACAGTCAGACACATTGTCTGGTGTAAGAGATTACAGTATGTATATGTAAATATTTTAACAAGTAATAATTTTAATAGTTGATTTCTTAACCCATATTTTAATCGCTAACTTGTTAATTTTTAAATTTATTTTTGAATTTATTATTCTTCTGGTAGAATTTACTTTTCCGCAATCTCGCTTTCCAATTTCTTTGTATTTAGTGTTTAATCAGTTTAATAGTCCTGATATGCTGATTTGTTTCAATTTTAATACATGTTTTGATTTTATTATTTTTAATTTTGTGTATTATAATTCACTATTTTATTTTTATTATTTTAGTGGCACGTTGTTTTGGTTTATTTGTTCTTCTGTTGGGTGAGATAAAGGTAATTATATACTAAAGTTTTCATAGCTTTGTACACAGTTTGTTGTAGTATATATATAACAAGCATAATAATTCTTGAAATATGATAATTATACCTTTTATGCTAATTACAGAATGAACGAGATGAAGCAATTGCTCGTGCAAAACGTAGTGCTAGAAATGCAGAAAAAGCTGCGGCACAATTAGCTGATGCCAACAATCAAATCCGATGTCTCAATCAGCAGCTGAGTGAAGCAGCAGATATGAAGGTAATTGACGGATTTTTTTTGTTCATTTTTATTGTAAAATTAGTTTTCTTGACAATTATAGATATTTCCTAATACCTTTCTTATAATGGTAATCTGACAAAGCTATTGTCAGGTGAGAAGGATTAATGATTCGTTGACACAAAATTATTAAGATGTCAAAGAGTAAAAAATAGTCGGAACTTACGAAGGCAACAATAGTACTGATGATCCGTGAGATTTTTTTGCACAGTGTTATACTAAATTATTGATATAAAGAACATTAAAGTCAATACCGGAAGATAAGTCATGGAACGCGTACGTTTTTTTAATAAGAATAGGAACAAATGACTGTGGAAAATCAAGTGTTAAAAAAACAAACCAGGCTTACAGAAATTTATTACATTTTCCTATCAGAAAAGAAGAGTTTCGTTTGTTTACGCTATTTTGATTTAAAATGCTAAATACAGATTTTGCAAAACTTTTCGGGCAGGGGCAGGCAAGACAAGTCCGCGGATGTATTTTTTCCTAAAACTAAGAAGAAGAAAATATTATTTCAACGATTAATAGAAACATATATAATTTGTTGATTACAAAAGGATGTGCATTTGTTCTGCAATGATAATGTTGCGATTCCTAAGAAAAGTAATTTTGAACGATATTTTAAAACCGAATTTTGATAGTGTTAAAAAAGATACTTTTTTTCTCTGAATAAGAAGACAAAACACTAACTAAAACTGACCAGCTAAGTTTACTGCAACATCATAACAAAATACTGTACTTGCTAGCTAAGAACAAAAGACAGATGGAGAATTAGTAAAAGGAATAATATTTTTAGCTATAGACACGTTGTTATCATCAGCACGAACTATTGCTAGAAGAATTGAGACCCTATAATTTATGGTCAACATTTTTTATCAAGAATGGTCAGATGATTTATATTCAAAGTGTTTTAAAAAAAAGTAATATGTTCCCAAATCATCGTTCTGAATTGTTTAGGGTTATTGAAATTATAGATATGCTGATTCATTCTTTTACAATTTGTGTTATATTAGCAATTTTTACCAATATAGCAACAAACACCATCATTGCAATTAATTAACTTCCCGTAGAATCGCAAAAAAATCGAAAATGAAAATTTTTATATATCTTTACGTTTCAAAACCTTCTGAACATTTTGACAGATCTTAGAAAAAATGGATGTATGTGTGTGGGTGTGCGTGTATGTGTGTGTGTTCGGATACAAATTTTCGTCGACGATTTCGGGAACACGGATGAAGCAATTTGAATAATTAAAAAAACATTCGATTCGTATAGATAAGGAGACGTGCTGATTAGTTTTTGTCAAAGGCAGGTCTAGCCGTTCCGAAGATATGGGGCAAAAAAGGCCAAAAACGGTAACTCAGTTTTTAAGAGAACGGAGCGTCCGATTTGTATAATTCAAAAAACATTTTACTTGTATTAACAAGATGAAGATTTGATCAAATTTTCATGAAGATAGGTGTAGCGGTTTCGGAGATCTAGTATAAAAATCTAAAAAAAAATAACATTTGGCGGTCAACAATAATCATTAGACATATGCATATCAAGTTATCAGATATTTTATAGAGATTTTAACAATAAGTATAAGTTTTGTTAACATTCCTATGGGTTCCGTACCAGTGTTTATCCGTTAGACGACGACGCGGCGCTTACGCGCTTCGATATTTAGTCTCTATGCATTTAAAGCAGTACGATTGCTTTGAAAAAAGTTCAGAATTTCCAAAATATTTCAAAATAAATTTTTCAACAAAAAGTAAGTTTTTGTCAAAAATTTATAGTTTCTCAAAAATCTATTTTTTCAGAGTAAATTTTTTTCAAAAATGTTAATCTTTTCAAAAAAAAAAAAAATTTTGGTACGGGAAGTTCCAGCAATTTACCTTAAGGCACGATGCCATGCGCCCCACTAGTTACATTTTCCTATCGGAATGTAGAAAAGCAGATTTTTGTCTATTTACGCTATTTTAATTTGAAATGATGAATACAGATTTTGCAAAGCTTTGCGGGCATACAACGCAAATTAGCGAGTGTATTCTTTTCTAAAATAGATAAAATTAAAAGAAAAAGATCAAATTATCTTAAGGATAAATGGGAACATACGAGTATACAACTTGTTGATCACAAGAGGATGTGTATGTTTTTGTTCTGTAATAATAGTATTTAGATTCCCAAGGAAAGTAATATTAAACGATATTTTAAGACCGAATTTTGATAGTGACTATCCAATGAACTCTGAATAAGAAGAAAAAACACTCTTTAAAATCTTAATAATAAACTTAAAAAACTAACCAGCTAAGTTTTTTTATTAAATCACTGCAACATCATAACAAAACATCATACAAAATACTGTACTTGCTAGCTAAGAACAAAAGACAGATGGAGAATTAGTAAAATAAATAATAGTTTTAGCTACAGACACGTTGTTATCATCAGCACGAACTATTTCTCAAAGTATTGAGACCCTATAATTTATGGTCAATATTTTTTTCTAAAAAATGGTTAGATGATTTATATTCAAAGTGTGTTAAAAAAAAGTAATATGTTCCCAGAACATCGTTTTGAATTGTTTAGGGTTATTGAAATTATAGATATATTGATTCATTCTTTTACAATTACATCGTGTTATATTGCCAATTTTTACCAATATAGCAACAAACACCATCATTGCAATTCATTTGTTCATTACTAAGAATCTAAAAAGTAATATCATGATCCTACAGTATCCATCATATTCTAACAACAATATACAGCATTTAAAGATGTTTGTCGTGTCGTAAATGTTAAACCGTGTCATAATCGGTTATAAGAATTATAGAGCCATGTCATATGTTAGTACGCGATCAGAATAATGGCCATTGTTCACGCAATCTTAACGTTTTTAATTTTCTTTATGCGTAACTTCCGAGCATTCTTTGGTGTACTGCATATTCTTGAGACTCTCTTTAAAAATTATATATAAATACTTATAATAGAAATATTGTTTTATTGTGTGATGGCTTAACACTGTATGATATTGTCTGGTCATGAACAGATTTCAAAATCAAATTTCAGTTATATGGTAATAATACAGCTGAGATCAATCAAAGTAATTTAAATTTGTTAAGATACAGTCGACTTTACATTTTACTTCAGATATTGAATCGAATTATACAAAAGAACTAGTGGCGCATGGCATCGTGCCTTAAGGCAAATTGCTTATTTCTGCACAAAAAATATATTTTTTTGAAAAAGGCATTACATTTTTTTGAGAATTTTCAAAATTTTTAACAAATTTGACTTTTTAAAAAATTTGCACTTTTGGAAAAATAAACTTCTTTTTATATAATTATAATTTATACAATTTTTTGATAAAATTTTGATTTTCAAAACAATTGCGCTGCGTAGCTGTTTTAGAGACGAAATATCGAAGCGCGTAAGCGTTGCATCGCAGTCTAATATAATTGCGGAATCCATAGGAATGCAAACAAAATTTGTACTTATTTTTAAAATCTCTATAAAATATCTGATAGTTTGATGTGCATATGTCTAATCATTTTTGACAGCCCATTGCCTTTTTTTACTTTTTTCAATGGTTCTCCAAAACCGCAGACTCTGTCTTCCCAAAAATTCAATCAATTCTTCATTTTGTCAATGCAAATAAAACGTTTTTTTAAAGCAGTCTAATCGGACGCTTAGTTATATTAAAAACTGAGTTATTATTTTTGCCACTTTTATGCCCCGTATCTTCGAAACGGTTGGATTTACCTTTGCAAAAAACTAATCAGCACGTCTTCCTATTAAAAGGAATTGAATGCTTTTTGAATTTTCATTCAAAGCGGTTGATCCGTGTTCGCAAAATTGTCGACGAAAATTTGTATCCGTACACACACACATAAATTTTTCTAACTTATATCAAAATATTCAAAAACCTTTGAAACCAAAAGATATGCAGATTTTCGATTTGAATGAAAGAAAGTGGCAATTAATTTTTAGTGAAGACAAAACTTGACTAATTAATAATTATATATTTATACAATATTATAATTATAAATTATATATTTATACATTATTATTTATGAATGAATTATTATGAACATTATTATTTTATAATAATTTCTGACACAAAAAATTTACAAATTCATAACACTGACGGTAAGATGAATCGGTAGTAAGATACGAAATGTTTGATTTTTATTACATCTCCTCAGGAGGTGTCGAATGATCAACGCAACAGTACTTTTATACTACTTCATGGTAAAATTAAATGTTTTACAACGCAATCTTGCTGAAAGTCACATTTGACTTTATAATTTCAAAATTGCAACAGTAGATACATATGCCAAGACAAGAAAAACATCTAACAATAATAATTTACAATTCCTCTAAAGTTCAAGAACTCGAGTGTCCATAAAGTCCATCGATACCTCATAAAGAAGGTCCAAATAGAAATGACCTTGATACGTTCAATTAAACGTTTTATAAATTTTGTATCATTTCTCTTGTTTTGTATTAGATTTAATCAATAGCATAATTTTTATTACCTCTTTTATTATTTCCTAGTCCTTTAGAATTTGTATATTATGACCATATCTGTTTTAATTGACAATTATATGGTATATCATAATAAAAAATTGATTAGCTTCAGATGACGACTCTCTTAATTTTTAAAGCATTGAAGTTGTATTATGACAATGATTAAGGAATTATTGATGTTTTTTTTAGATATGTCTATTAGAACGTTCACGAAAAGTTGAGGAACTGCAACAACGCCTATCCGAATGCGAAAATCAAAAGATCAAGCAGGCAAGACAGCACAGCGCGACGAAGGAACACAGCAGACAAAATGAACAGGTCTGTATTTTATTTAATTAGATTTTTAATCAACAAATTTATTGTATACACATAAATCTATCATTATAAGTATTTTATGGTTTAAAGAATGAAGATTGATAAAGCAATAAGAAGTGCTCTTAAATTCTCTCACACCTAAGCCTTATTGCTCGATTACTGGCTTTTGTTTGTGCCTTGAAACTGAGAAAGACTTAACTTCAATAAACGTTGAAGCATTAAATTGCTCGATATTGATGTAGTAATTTATATTTATATTTTTGCTCGAAAATTATATTCGCTTTATGTTTCCTTGGTATTTAATGTCATTGTGAGAGGGGCTCAGCTTTGAGGTGCCTGATGTCAAGCAGTTGTGACATCGATTTTTACTTGGATGTATAGAAGCAAAATATTTTCAAATATCCCTCATCCGGCATTGATACTGCAATAAAAAATATTCGCCCATTACAAAATTTGGAATAATAATAATTTATCACTAAGAGTTGGGACAACTGTTCAGGTTGCCATATGTAAAACCGACGTAGTATTAAATCAAATTAGACCAGCGTATATAACGTTTAAGTTCTGATTCCTGTTCAAACCAATAATAATAAAAAGAATGTTATTCTGAGTAATTTGACGAACAAACATTAAGGGAAAAAGTGAGTTTGTTTGTGACAGTATATTTCACTTTTCATTGACATCCTCCCGAGAACGATCATACTGATCGTTAAAAAATACTAAAAACGTAAATGTTAGGTACAAACGACGCTAATTGATATGGTTGAAAAACTATCAAAATTAGCAGTTGAACAATTTCAATTGATATATCACAATTAAAAAAAAGAGTGCGCGTAAGGTTCACACCCGATTGAAGTGAATCTTATTTGCTACTGTACAAGATCATATTTAAGTAAAAATAAAAACAACATATAACAATTTTGAATAATGTTTATTGTAATCTGGTAAAACTCACGATGCACACATTTATTAGTTTCAACTGTTATACACATTTATATATTGATAAAGTATAAATTATTTATTTATAATGGCATTAATAACAATAATGTAATTAAAGTCAAATATGACATGATCGGTTTGTCATTGTAATTAGCATTTAGAAATGAACCTTCATTAGAGAAATGAAGTAATTGCTGATTAATAAATTCTATAATATTCGTTCATACAGTGGATTATGTTAAACAATGCTTAAACAAATATTGTTTTCGGAACTTCACTCATCATGTAATTGTGTTTGAAAAACTTCATGTAATTGGAATTAACATACATTCATTAACTGCTTGTATTTTTTTACTGAAAAAGTAAAAGTTAATGAATGTATGTATGTATGTTATGCCTAAAAATATTTTTCATTTTAATGACTTCAAACATTTATAGAAACTACGAATAATATAGAAATAATTCAGGATTTTTTCATTAAATCAAGATTTGTACTACGATGTAACTTTAAAATGTTTATTTATCTACGCCGATTTCCTTGTTGATATCAGTACGCATACAACGACAGATCTCTGTTCACATACACGACGGCTAATCACAATCGACCCGTATCTAAATAATCTCATCGAAAGCGAATGACGAACAGTTCGGGCGTAACGGACTTCCGTTGCATTTGAACGGAATTACACTCTAGTCGCGCCTAAAGAAGTTGTACTTCAATAATTATTCATAAGAATGACTCAAAACGTATAGCAGGAAGTATGCCGAAATATTTAAATCTTAGCAAAGTGTTTTATGATGTGATATAGCTGACAAAGATTATATAATATTAGATTATTTATGATTCTCTGAAAAATCATTTAACAAAAATACGATCTTTTGTAAAGTTTATTCTGTGAATTTAATATATTTTTATGAACAATTATGTACGCTCAAATAAACTTTTATGATCAATATAACCATTGATGTCTATATAAGTCTCACGACTTCATCACATTTTATTAGTTTTGATCTTTTGTGCTAATTTTTGCAAAAGGTTCAATGCCGTTCATGTTATGGTTGGCGTACGAATAAACTATTCATTATATGAATTATTATATTTTTACATTACATTATATGAACATTATGTGAATATAAACAGAATAGTATTATAGCAAAGTATTTCATCAATAATATAATGAAGTAAACTTTATTTTGAGAAAGGCAAGAAGTCGTTAAAATGTGGCGGCAATATAAAATGTAGATATTACGTTTCTTGATAGATATTTGGAGCAAACAAATTTTCTCATATTTCAATCATGGGAAGAAATAAATAATACGAATAACTTGATATCAAGAAATAGTCTATAATATAATCTATTTGCTCTTATTGATATAGATCGAATATATATCGCTGGAACGTCCCAGTAGATGTACATCTAATACTGAAAATCCATCAAATACATAATAAACAGCGTTAAAGATCCAGCACAAGAGCTCAAAACTGATCCGTTCTAAAACAAAAACCTATTTTTTAAAAAATAATTAAAATAATGCTATTATAATTGATCTCTTTATAGGTTCAATATTCAAATAAAATACATTTCAATAACTTTTTAATTCATAACATCTGTGTTAAATTGTTATATTCCAAAGATATAGTAATATTTATTAAAATTTAAAGTATCAAAAGATTTATTATCAACTCTTTTCTATGTACTTCATGGAGTAATATCTTGGTTACTTTGAGAAATTTGTAATCAGTATTGGCATGTTTACTGTTTGACCATTCAGTTCGAATGGACCGAAAGTATGTTGTTAAGAGATAAATTAAAAGTGTGTAAGAAGTTCGTGATCCACCAAGATGCTGCCGAACTCTATTAAAACACTTGCACTTTATTTATATTGTCGAAGGACCAGATATATTTAGTTAGTGGCTATATCAGACTGATTGAAAATAATAAAAAATAAAAGATGATAAATAAATGTTTAATTGTTGTATACTTGAATGTAACGATTTATAGACCTATAGATGATATGTTTATTAGATGAGATTTAGATATTACTCCTTTGAGTGTTGATTTAAGACTTGTTGCTTAGTTGAGTATTGATTTAAGACTGGTGTTTTGAGTAAGGCGTTAACAAATATTGTTATATTTTAATCTTGCATAAAACGTTTATTTTTGTGATATTGTAAATTTTTGCACTATTCTATATGCAATTTGAGTAAACAAAAAATGTACAAAACTCTATGGTTTGGAATTTAATATGTGCTACTTTTGCTTCGGAAATATGCAAATACTATCAAGAAGCAAGAGCTTTCAAAAAATTAAATAATGAAAAAGTTAATAGTATTTAAAGAATTAGAAGGAATGGCTGAAACTAATCTCAAGAGTCAAATTGGTTCATGCAAGGCTAAACATATTAATAAAATAAAATACTCATTAATTAATATTTATTAATGATTAAATTTATTATATTTAATTTTTTAATAGTTTTAAAATACTCAAAATCAGTTAAAAACTATTACAGTAATTTTGAAGGAAAAATTGTGTTATAATTTATTAGTTACGCAAAACATTTGATCAACGATTTCTAAATAATTTTTAAGAAAATTTTTGAATGAACTAAATGTAATGAGCTTTTAAAGATAATATAACAAAACTATGCTTCACATAAAAATATACACAGGTATGAATTTGCGATAACTTAGTGAGTCGTGGGAATGTTATCGAAATTCGAATTTCTGCATACCGTTCTTTATTATAAAGGAAACAGATATGACTGTCTGACAAGCAGTTTTGATTCTGCAGATATGAAACCATAACCATACTTTGAATAATAAATTTGAAATATGCACCATATTTTGTTTCAGTGTCTTCGTGAAGAAGCTCAACGGCTAAGGGCTTCACTCTCAGATAATTCGCATGCCCTTAGTCTTCTGCAATCCTTCCGCGGATCAGTTGCCCGTTTGCTCGCAATACCCAGCTCTCATACAGATTCCGAAATTATATGCCGTCTGCAGAAGATGGTCACTGCCAAAGATGTCCATCATCATGTAAGTTACAAATATCCTAAATTAAGGTACAATAATAAAATTTCAACGAATCTTAAGTGAGTATATATTACGTTTGAACATTATTTAGAACACAGATTCTACAGAATTATTTACTTGACTGTTGAATGTCAAAGAATTGTAAGAACCAAAGTTCAATGTCGAAAGAATATCTAAGTAAATTTTTAAAGTTTTTAATAACACGGACAGATTTGTAAGTTACTGGACTATTGAAATGTGTGAATTGCTGTTTTGACAAATCGATGTTTCACATTTCTTAGATGGCTCACAGGAGATTAGATGATACTCCACTGCCTCCACGCGCCTGTCTACGTCCCCTGAGTCCTCCACATAGCCCATTGGGAAGAACAACCCGTTCACCAGAAAGAACATTTCGATTCGACGATCACTGCTATGAATACGATGACTTCAAGGACTGCTAAAATATATAGTAGATATTCAAGTCAGTGCCTTTCAAAAGATACAATTAGACAACAGTAATTAGAGTTAAATTATGGATGATAATGGAGGAGGTTTGTTGCATAATTATGTTTTTTTTCAAAACTTTTGTGTTAAAGGGTAACCCTACTGTAACATCATAAACAACGTGTTTAACCCTTTCCACTCGGATGCAGCTGCTCCGGCGGCAAAATTCATATAAATCTCGGAATTTGCGTGTGTAAAGGGTTAAAGCCACCTTTTGGTGAAAAAAAAAGATGATGAAATGATAATATTCGTCAAAGTTACATAAGTTAAACTATAAGTTAAAATTATTATAAAAAATATATAAACTTGACAGCTTCGCAGAAAAACACGTGAAATTTGAAGCGCTCTCTAGAATTCAGTGTATTTTCCTGCTGAAAATTTGGACGTAAAAAGAAAACACTTAGTGTACATGATTATAAATAGAGAAATAGGCCGTGGTTTTTGAAAATATTGATTTTTGTGTATGATTTGGCGAGTACCTTAATTGGATCGTTAAATGCTCAACAAAGATAATCATCAAATCAGTATATCAATTATCCCCTACGCATTTTTTTTAAATCTTGTTTTAAATGCAGTGTAATACACTCGGATAAAAAGAATGAAAATTTGGAAGTATACTGCGTTCCTTTTTAAAAAATAGTGTTAAAAAAACGCATTTAAAGTTGTCCGAAGTGCTGAGGAAAGAGCGCGAAATTATAAAAAAAATCTTTGAGATAAAATCAAATATTTTGTTCCACATTCTAAAAGGTTCAAAATATTGTTTGAGTCTGAAAAAAGCGATTATCTAAAAAAATGTACAGTGTTGTTATCCCTCAATACGCCAATTTTGTATTCGTATTTTCATTTTATTGCTGGATAATACTGATGTATTTATACTGATGATACATTCTTTCTATTTCAATGTGCAATTATATATTGACAATTTCAAAATCCAATCCAAAGTTTAAAATAGACCTTTTGAATCCTTTATGGAATACTATTAACGTAAACGATCGTAGTGTTCTTGGGGTTTTATTTTATTACTTAAAATATATGATTATTTTTTTCTCATTGCAACAAAAACGCATACTAATAGTGTCTAAATTTTGCTTTTAGCAAAAGTTTTATTTACGTAAAATATAAAATAATTCTGATGCTTTGAAATATTTAGTTTTGCCTTTTTATTTCTTTGGCCTTATTATCTGATTTTACTTCAATTTATTTCAATTTCAATTAAAAAAAATTCTATTGGTGTTTATTAAGTAAAAAGTTATTTTACAAAACAAAGAAAATCCAATATTTCCAATAGTTAAACGCCTTTAAGTATAAATTAATATTGATAAAAATAAACATACATTTAAGGTAGTTGATTTTTATATATCATATATCTATAGAGGTTAATATCAAAGACATCTGCATAATAATCATTTTTATCAAATTTATAATTTATTTTAATTAACCTTAAATTTATTAAAATACATATAATAAAGGTATAATTTTAAATAAATTAGATTAGAATTAAAATTAAGTGACATTAATTTATTGTTTCAAATTAAGTTGATCACCACAGCTGTTCACTATCTATAATATAGATATAGATTCTATATGGAATTTGTAAATTAATATTTGGACTAAAGTTTCGGAGTTTATCATAAATGTTATTTGTTTTATCAAAATATGCTAAAATTGTTTCCACTTTTATATGGCTTATATATTAAATATCCAATGAATCTTATAAGTACATATTTAAATAATGATAGCAATCGCTGAATGAAAAAAATGAACTGTATTGTAGATTTTGTGCGATATTGATATTATGATTATCTGATATTATAGAATTCTTCCTCAATGTCACCGAATGTACGCAATTATTACAAGTTTGATAGAATAATATTTCAAAGAAAGTTTTATAAAATATGAAATTTTTCAGTAAAATAAGTTTGTAGACTTTGCGTACAACTAAGGTGACCAAATTTTTTTGCATGAAATCTGGGACGAATTAGAATGTGTTTGATATCGGTGGGGGGGGGGGGTGTTGGTAAGCTAAAAACTATAAATGCACATTTTAAATTTTCTAGTGTAAATATATTTTAAAATATATTCGCAATCAAAACATTTTTGAAAATCCGGGACAATCCGGGACAAAACACCTAAAACCGGGACAAACATTGCTTTTAGAAAAAGCCGGGAAGCAAGGCGGAAAATCGGGACGTATGGTCACCTTAGTACAACATGTTTTTTTTTAAATAGTTAATAACATTAATTAATTACCTAATAACATTAATTTTTCCAATTCGTTTAATTATTAAAACGACTAAACAAGAATGTATGGATGTTACTACTTATATATATATTATTCAATAAAAGATTGCAAATTATATGAACTAGTTAAACATCATTTTTAAATCTTTGGAATATGTGAAACCTAACCTAATACTTAGTTTAAATCAATAATTTTTGAATACCTACTTTAAATGAATTATTGCAAAGTATACAATTAGGTCCTAGATTTTTATTATAAATAACTAAAATATCATTAAGTTAGAACGTTCAATATAAAATTTCGAAACAAATTTGAAAAAATAATTTGAGTTTCCATTTAAATGCAAATGACGGAATGATTATTAAAATAAATTTGCAATTTCTACCTATACTTATTATTAATTAATTGTATTTGACCATTAAAAAAAACATTTTGCAGGCTTCAAGAAGAAACTATAACTTCAGGAAGGAAGTATAAAATTTTTCCATATTATTCTAAGTGCTTTTAGATCAAAATTTCTAGCAAGCTCTAGAGGAGACTATTTTGGCTGTATAGGCTTTGATGATAGTTCCTGGATCAAATAATTGTTTTTAGGATTCCGTCGATACAAGACATTTTCCTGGCGATGTTTTATATTGGCAAGGAGACCATATGAACAATTTGATCATACTTTAAGTGAAATTGCTCTGATGAAATATTTGTAAGTGAAACAAAATACAGAAAAATGTTTGTGTAAAATACAAAAATCATCAAACATCTGAATCTGCACCAAGAAACTTACATATTTCAAGGTAAGTAATTCAATCTTATAATTTGATGTTATCGCATATCAATTTCATATTATTTTTCAATATAAATATGATTGAATATTTTGTTCTTAATATAAGATTTGCTTGATATTTTATCATACTTTTGTATGTCGTTTTTTATACCAGCATTTAACGTGTCTGTTAATATGGGTATACATCTGATCAATGATTATTATAGCAATTATTATACTTCGATATATTCGATACCTATTGACAGGGAGATTTGCTCATTTGTTTCTGGCAAAGGTAGGTACAGCCATTACGGAGATACGAAGCATAGGGTGCAGAGTTTTTTAGAGAACGGTATATATGATGTGAATGATCCAAAAAACTTTCAATTTGTAATGGTTGGGAGAAGAGGTGTTTAGGTTTTGGCAAAGGAAGGTCCAGTCGTTTCGAAGATACAGAGCTAAATATGCAACAAATTTGAGTTTTTGAGAGAACGAAGCATCCGATTTAAATGATTCAAAAAACTTTCTGCTTGTGTTGACAAAACAATTGCTTTTGGAAAAAATAATTCAGATTTTAATTTTAATTCGGGCTAAAGCTCTTAAGCTCACTTATATACTTTAAATAAATAATTTTAACTCTGTAATTCAGTTTACATATTTATCTCTTACATTTTAATTACAATCTGTCACACTTAGAACATTCAGGAATTGTTTTGACTTTATTATATGGATTTATGGATGCAACCAGTAGTTGTCCGATCCAATTATCACTAATTAACTATACTCGAAGTATTTGTTGACATTAATTCAGTTTATATGATTCTTATAAATATTAGACTATGTTACATTATTTATAATGATCTATTTGAAAACATTTGATATTCCTCGAACATTTCGTTACGGTACAGGAAGTTCCAGAAATTTGCCTTAAGATAGTATGCCATACACCACCAGTTGCTCTTGTTTGAAAAAATGAACAATGATGCAACATATTTCATATTTAACAATAATAATAATAATCAATAAGTCTAAAGTTTTGTGTCTGTTCAAAGATTATTATTTTACTAATGATTTTTTTTTTTCAATTATAAAAAAACTGCTTTCATGATATAAATACATAAAATAATATGGAGTTTCTTGCTAGTAAATTTTAAACGTATACATTTCTAATCATAGTAAAAATAATTACGAAAATAATTTATAATCATAATCAATAATAATAACACATACTTAAAATTCTAAAGGGGTGTTTAAACACAATCATAATTGATATATCTAAAAATTGTATCTCATTTTTTATGTTGGTAATTTGTACTTCTACCCATCATAATTTATAGATCCAATAATACCCTCAGTAAGATTTGAATTATTTAACTTATTGGAACTTATTTTTTTGGAAAATAATTATATAAAATTTCTCAATATCTGGATTTACGCAGATCCATAAAGTAGTAAAGTATTGTAATAGAATGTTTAATGATCGGATTCCTCGCTTGGCCTGTAACAAATTGTTAATGAAATAATCTTGCTTGAATACCAATACGTCATCTATTGTAACATTTTTGTGTAAAGCATAAAAGGTCACAAATAGTTTGACACACAGGAACCTATATTTGAGCAAATACATTTGAAATATTGGACAACTTGTTTTGACAACAACAGTGTTACTAACTTCAATTAGTAGTTGAACAACAGATCAATTCAGAAGTGGATTTGTTAGTTGAACAGTTATGTCCTATGGGTGTTGTTTATATTATTGTCATAGTGGTGTGACGTAATTGTAGTAATATGAATAGAATAACTACACTAACTTCGAGGTAAGAGGATACATGTAAGTTTTTTTCATTTTAATATTACGATATTATGCTTAAAAAATTCTTGTTGTCACCCTATGCAAATAATCAATGCAATAACTACCATGTTATTTACGAGAAATGGGAGTCTTTATAAATAAA